TTAAACCAAGAACATTGAGCTTATCTTTAAAGTGAAAGGGTTACAACACCTACTGTTCTTAAGTGTGTTTGTTAGAAATTAAGGCTTTAATTGATGCAGATCTCTCAGCTCTAGAAGAACATATTCTTGGTTGTTTCAGCACTCTAGAACTGTCGTAGGCCTTCTATGCTATGCTTTTCAGCCAAATATCTCGAAACATAAAGGGGGAAAGTAAATATAGCTGCTAAAATCATGACAAACCTGTGATCACTAACATCATCTCTCAGATTAGTCAGTGAGTGATGAATCCTACAGAAAGTCTTGCGTCAGAGAGAAATGACTCAATGGTACCAACATTTAAAGGTCACGTTACACATAGATTGTTAGCTCTTATTATAGGAAGGATGTGAAGGTGGGGGCAAACACAAACCACACTATGCGCATATTGGGTTCACTTTAAAAGTTTCTTTCCACAGTCCTTTATGGCTCACGGCCTACCACATCTTTTGATTTGCATTCACGGTCCACTGGATTCAATCTGACGTGTTCTCGCATAGCAAACAGCTTTGAACTAGCGTCCATTTCCTTGACTATGAAAATACCTAGTTTCAGTTTGAGAGACTGATATGATACACAGTATATCTCCTTTTGCTTTCTTCTCAGTAGGACAGAAAAAAAGTCAGATGCTGGGCAATACCCTGAATAACCCTCATATTTGATAGGCAAAGTCTAGCAGCTTAGCTTGAATTCTCTCTTAGCATTACTATTACACAGTACTCCCATAATGTTTCTGATCTGTTTTCTCTTTCTCTAGCCTGCAGGTGGCATTCATGTCGGACAATGGACACACCTGATGACCTGTTCAGTTCAGGTTTAATGCTAATCGTGATAGGGGTTGTATTTAAGTGAACACCTATGCTGTTAGCATTATCCCTGCGCTGGTGAGTTTGCGTCAGATCATGAAGACAATACACAGATACACCTGTGGAACTAAGTGCATTCTGTCTTAAATGAGGCTTTCTCATAAACACAAACACAGAGGTTGTGTTAATGCTGTTCATGACTGGGGTTGTGAGAACAGCACTCACTCCAGCTTGGTAGCATTCACACATTCAGAAGCCAGCAACATTCACTAATCACAGACTGCACAGGAATTAAGTAAGTCAACTGTTGCATTACTGTGTATGCCGTATGGTCACAGTCTCCTGTCAAAGTCATTCTGTTTGAATTGTATGTTATCTGTGATTATGTAATCTTTAAACCAATGCTTTGATGTGATCTGACTGAAGCATGATATTTCCAAAGAATGTCTTCATACTAGTACTGGCATAATTATATATAGAATTAATGTTATAATATTGTATGTAAGAACGAATAAACTGCATGAGAGGACTTGCAGCCTCATATGAAGAATGCAACCTTCATTATTTCTTCTATTATATGTATTCCCAGGCTACTGTGGGACAAATAGTAATGTCAATGGGCAGGTTTCACTAAAGGAATTGCACCTATTTTTGCAGAATAGCATTCAAAATACTTTTGTAAGTCATTTTATCTTTACACTGAAATAGACCATAAAAATCACAGATGTTTTTATATTCATAGATCATTGAAAAACAAATACTTCAGTATAGTGTATTTCCCACATTAAAAATCTTTACCTTATTTACTCTTTTCTACCATTACAGATACTGATTTATCCTCTTTCTCCTACTACTCCACTACTCTATGCTACTATGCTAACTACTCTATTCTCCTACCTATTCTCTCTTACTCTTCTGTCCTTGGAGTTTTGATCTCTTGTTCCTGTCTTCCTCTCACCTCTCCTCTTTCTCCTCTCTTTCTCTTTTTGTTAAAGCTGCAAGAACAAAAAGACTCCAAATCTGCAAGTTCTCAACGATAGCACTTCTGATTGTTGTAAATAAATCTAGGTCTCTATTCAGTACAGGCATTTTCAGGCATTTTTACACTAGGCCTGTCACAATTATTACATATTCACCTGATCACCGCCCATATGTAGACTGTTTCTCTGCATACTTTGTTAGTACTTTTACCCACAGAAGCACCACAGAGCAGGTATTATCTGGGTGGAGGATCATTCTCAGCACGGCGGTGACACTGTGTGGTGGTGATGTGTGTGTGTGCAGTGCTGGTACAAGTGGATCAGACACAGCAGTGCTACTGGAGTTTTTAAACACCTCCATGTCACTGCTGGACTGAGCATAGTATACCAACCAATAATATCCAGTGTACACTTGAGGATGACCAACACAAGCTGTGCAGCAACAGATGAGCTACTGTCTCTGACTTTACATCTAAAAGGTGGACCAACAAGGCAGGAGCATCCAAGAGAGTGGTCTTGAGTCTATATATATAGACTTGGCACAACCACACATTGTCATACATCACTAAAATGTTTATTTCCTGTAGAATCCAACTAGAATATCTGGGCTCATATTCACAAAGACGCTCAGAGTCCTCTCTAATTTACTACGACTTTATAGATGAGAACAGATCCTAGATCCTCATTTCCTGAGAAGCTTTGTGAATATGGGGCTTGAACATGTCTATTTTCTTTGTATTAATAACAGCATCAGCACAAATAGTGCCTGCTTTCTGAGATCTCACTAGGTAATGCAGCTGTAAGGTAAATTATTAAAAGTTTGTTTTTCAAAATGAGCTTTTCTATACATTCAGAACTGAAAATCTCAGCTTCTAGAATACCTACATTCATGAATATTTAACATGTTAATTCCTAACCATATTCTGAGGGATATTTCAGAATAATTTCTTCATATATTACTATTAGCTAGATTTGTGCTAGATTATATTCAATAAAATGATATGAAAACCAGTTTCATCCAATTTAAATGTTTCTGCTCTTAATTCCAGCACCTCTCAAAAGCTAGATTTCTGTATTTAATTTTATATGCAAATGTTGCAAATAACATCTCTTTTGCATATCTAAATATATATATTTTTGCGAGCTTTACATACAAAAAAATACAGGTAAGAAAATCAGTAATTAAGTGCCGGAGATTCACTATGATAAAAGATTACACTATTCTTAAATTAGTTTCTTGTTAAAACAGGGGTTAGAAAGTGTTAAGTAGTAATAGGGAGTCGATTCCAAGAGTCTGGGAGTTTTAGTCGACTCTTGGCCGACTGACTCTGAGTGTCGAAATGCTTGGAGTCGACTCTTCGTTCATTTTGACTGAAGCGTGTGTCGAGTTCGAGTAGCGCTTGTTTGTTTACCAGCTTTATGACAATCCAGCGCTGCCCACCAGTCGCTGATAAAGGCTACGTTCACATTAGCAGGCTGGCACAAATCCGATTTTTTGCCCTAATGTGACTCAGATCTGATGTTTTCAGGGCTAAAAATCTGATCTTTTCAAATCCGACCTGAGTCACTTTCATATGTGGTCCTAGATCGGATACGTATCTGATTCGTGGCCACGCGACCTTAACGAGAACGCTCGAAAATTCATGTGCTTTTTTTCCACTGCGCGTGCGCCATCAGTCAGCGTTACCATGACAGCAGCGCCGAACAGAAGTTAAAGCCTGTAAACGGTGGAAAAAAAACACATCTCACCCTTTTCTCCTTCGTCTGGCTCTAATAATGAACAGCTGATAGCTGATCAGAGTTAATTATCTTCACAGCGAAGGCTCGTTCTGACCTGATGATGCACGCGATTCATTCACGTGACGTTACTGAGTAGGATGTGCGCATGCGGGTCATTTCAGGACGCCGGTTCGTTCACATTAATGACAGATTTGAATCACTTAGTTACCTAAACGAGTGTGATCCGTCGTGTCAGAGAGATCGGTTTATTTGACTAAGTTAGCTAGTTATCTTGAAGTGGACGGCTGAGTTTAGCAGGCTGGCTAACTCCTTCAGCTCGAGTCGTCTTGGTTAACCTAGTTAAGCTAGGTTAGCTAACTAACTAACGTGTTAATTTATCACTGACATTTTAAAGTGAGCTTACTGACTGAAATATTTATAAATAAACACAAGAATTGTCAAGTAATATAAATTACATATGTTAGAGTAGCTGTTCAGAATATTTGCACTAAGGTTTGAAGAAATTATAAAGTGAGCAGCCAGTTTTATTACCGACCGCGGATGCATTTTGGTTTACCTTAGAAACCGTCGGAGAGGAGAGCGGTTTAACGGAGACGGTTGACGCTGTCAGAAGTGTCGCGCATGCGCAGACGTTCTTACATGCGCAGCGTACATAAACTGACATGAAGTGCTGATGTCCGCCGGTGTGTAGGGGCTCAACACGCTGTGTCTGGAGATAAAAACGTTGTTCTACTGAAAGAATTTAGTCAGCTGCCGTACAAAAAGGGCCACATGATTAACTTCTTTATGCAGTGTTTGTGTGCTGAATGCTTCTGAGAGTCGCACGTCACCTTTGACAGCGTGATCTATTTCGTTACATGGTCATTATTTTTAATAAGGCGTGGCCGCGAATTAATTTATTGAGAACACAAGTTAATACATTGAGGCCAAAATGATTGAGAAAGCTGCACTGAGACGAGTTTTAATAAAATCTGAAATAAAAAAATTAATGTCTCAGTGTAGTTTCTGAAATTACTGTAAACAGATAGCAGTAGGAGGCTGTGTTATCTTAAGGTCTTCTTGTTCCCAAATTGTTTTATGTTATGTAAATATATGTATAAAGTCTTTGTATGACTTATTATTTAATATCATAACAAACGCTATTAATATGACGAGTGAGTCTGACTTTTTGGACTGAATAGCTTAACTTATTTGCTCAAAACTAAAATTGTACTAGAATCCTTAAGACAGGTCACCATCTTATAGTTATATCTTATAACTATATCATGCAGCCTAACCTACCCCGCATATATTAGAGATATTAACTAATAGAAACACCAATTAAGAAATCATTTATTATTTTTTGCTCGAAGACGCTTCGGCAGCAAATACAGTGGCGGGGGCTAAAACGGAACCTAAAAGTTGATCTCGGTTTGAACACGGAGTTTATAGAGCAGCGGTCGTTGGGAGTAAACGGGAGCATGGCGCTCGGTGTGTGTTCATTAGCTTAGCAGGTGAAGAAGCGCAGTTTTTATCCCGTTTAGATTCACTTTCTGCTCCTCAGCACTCAGCGCAGACGGTGAGGAGCTTTAGGAGCTCGTCATGGCCTGTGGGAGAGTTTGTCAAATGGTCCAGCGCCGTAAGTTTGTCTTTTAATCTGAGTGCAGACACAAACAGAAGCGTTCAGAGTCCGGGCTGCTGCTGACCTTCATCACAGCATCTCAGTCACTGTTTACAAATTTTCACCTTTAAAAGTGATATTATATGGTAACAATCACAGTGTCTGTTTAGTCTGACTTGACGACACATACACAAGCACTGAATAACGTATTTATTCAAGTAGTATTTATTAACAGCTTATGCTAGAAATACGTGGAATGCGTTTTATTAAGTAAGTGACATCGTATTGACATAAGGAGCCTTAAAGGAGAATTGCACCCATTTTTCTAAATTTCTGTTTAATTCAGTTGCTGAAACGTAAACAGACTTATTCAGACTGGTGATAGTGGTTTGGTATGAAATGGTTCATTGTAGAGACTGCTCAGATCTCTGTAAAGTGGTGATGGGAACCGGGGGTCACAATGTCTACAAAATAAATGTAGACATCCAAAACCACCACTGAATATACACGTCTTTTGAGGTTTATATGTAATGTTCCTGATGGTAAGTCTTTGGAAAATCTGAAAAAAAAAAAGTTTTCTTTGGGCACTGTGTTGCCTCACAATATCATGCATGTTCCTCTCTGCCATTAATGGATTTCTGAAATATGTTTTGGAACCAAAACCTTCTCAAAACGGTTGTTAAACAAGGTCTCAGACATCAGGCAGTGTCTTCTTAACCATTTCAAATAATAACTCTCTGTGAGGGGAATTTTAGAGGTGGACGTCTGGTTCCTATCACCTCCACTCTGAACAATTCTGACTCAATAAGTTTCTCTAGAACGGAGCATTTCACACCAGACCTCTCTGAATGACTTTGTTCATCACAACCGTTTATTTATATAGAAATTTGAAAATCGGTTACCTTTTAAGCTAACAGTTCTTCTGTTTGTAACACTGTTATGGAGCACTCAGGTAATGGGACTAAGGCAGAGGCGTAGTTAAGAACACATGGAGTGCAGGTTTTGATGCCTTCAGACTAAAGGGATTGCTTTTTTTCTTCAACAGTACGCTGCTATTTACTTATCAAAACATGAGTTGTTGTGATTACTGGCACAAGCTGTTTATAGATATTTAAGTATTGGTTTTTTGGATGTTTGTGTTGGTGCTTATTCATGTGTTACGAAGTCCTCATACAAATACCGTCAATATGATGGTGTTAATCAGTGCGATACAGTACAATACAAAATGTTTTCTGTAACGAAAAAGTGAACACCTTTTAAATAACACAGCTATACTAATATACAGTAGGCACAGTACATTTTTTTTTCTGTGAGTTGCAAGTTCTTAATATGCTGCAAGACCTACTCAATTACAGTGTGTATCAATATAATAAAGATTGTCCATTTCACACAGCCATATTTGACCATAGCGAGTCTCTGAATTTTTTTTTAAGAATTGTCATTACTTCTTATGAAGGCCTACTTTTTCAGTTTGTTTCAATATAAAATGTGATAAAACATTGCAAAGGTAACAGTTATGTTTGCTTTTTCCATAAAACAGCACTGCACACAGAATTTACTTTTCATCATATTCAAATTATTATAAAATATCTCCTCTTCTAGTTACTACAGATGTAATATTTCTGGAAAATGAACCTGTTTTTGTTTTTTTAGGTTTGAGAGTTAAATGAAGTGCATTTTGATCAGATGATAATGTCCTGCAGGTCTGGCATCCAGTGCGGCAGCTGAGCGGATTTCAGCAGCGGAGGTGCGCAGCTGGCGGAGTTCTCTGTTCTCAAAAGAGCGGGACCGTCAGCGGTCACTTTATCCACGCATAGAGAAGATAGAGGTGACCGTACAGGGACCTGGGCTGCAGGGAACACTTTTAGTTATGAACAAAGGCTTGTCCACTCCCACATAGCTGTGCAAGACGTAAGTAAACCCCTGCTGTACTTTACTGTTCAGGTCTGCACATTCCGCCCCCCCATTCCTTGTTTGTTGTCCCTGGTCATATTAAGCATTATTCATATTATACAGGGTGATTCAAAAAGATTCATCTGATTTCAAAATGGCATATTTTTTACAACTGTGAGGCGCCTAGGAACCAATCACATACCAGTTGAAAGAGGGGGTCATATGAATGCAGTGACCCATCTCATGTTATTTAACAGAGATCAGTCAAAATAAAAACAATAAATTGACAGATTTATTTCGTGTTTTGTACAAAAATTTTTCCAGTTAAGATCTTGGGCGATTCCAATTGTGCATACCTAGTGTACCTTCATTTGATTGTGGTGTTTTAGATGAACACACCTGTCAAAAAAAAAGTAAATGGTAGATTTTTCTGAATCCGATTGTTTAATCAGACTGTAGAGGGTGTCGACATATTGCTGTAGTGCATTGTTTTGCACTCTGGTCCTGGAGGCCAGCTGTCCTGCACACTTCAGTGCTTTTCCTGGTTTAATGCTTCAGCTCAGTAAGAGATTGTTAATGAGGTAATTAGTTGAATCAGGTGTGTTGAGAGCAGGAAATGTGCTAAAATGTGCAGAGCAGGGAATCTCCAGGAGCAGGGTTGGGAAACGCTGCTCTAGTGTGATGCGAGATGTTACATGTGTTGTTTTTTGTTATATAGAATAAACTCTCCTGTTTATTAAATGTATTTGCTAATTTGAACTTTACTAATATTTTTTCATGTTTGTTCCCTTGTTTGTTTCTTTGCTCTCTCTCTGTTTGTCAGATTTGACGGAGTGGCACGTCAGCAGTGCGGCTCTTGCTCTGGTGGATGGAGAGCCGTGGCACCTGCATCGTCCGCTCACTCGCTCCTGCTCCCTCACCCTGCTCACCTTTAAAGACGACAACCCTCAGCTTGCCAACCAGGTGAGTGATGAAATTGTTGTGAAATGGAATGTAGTTGTGGAACCATTTATTTGAAGCTGAGAATAAAAGAGTCCGTGATGGGCTGTGATATGAAGATCAGAATATAGGTCAGACATCATTTTTGGACACAATGGGCACATTCCTGTTACATCATTATGAATGTGTGGGTTTTTGTGTTCTTAGGCCTATTGGCGCTCCTGCGCAGCCTTGTTAGGCCAAGTTCTCGACAATGCCTTTAAGGAGGAGTACAGTGTGGAGCTACTGCAGATTCCCGAAGTGCCAGGTATAGACTTTGTTTCAAATCATGCACAAACCATTATCACTATAATCTATTAATCTATTGACAGTTTTTGATTAATCTACAAATCTAGTCTGCATTCTGCTGCTCTTGCTTTGCCTGTCAGTGCAGGCTTCTGCGTGACAAGCGGTTTTATCTTTTTATTATGCAAAATAATAGAAGCCATATTACCCCATGAACTTTCTGTAGAGTGCTGCAGTTTGTCAGAATGACCACATGGACATTAGTGTGCAAAGGGTTGGGCACCTTGGTCACATTACATATTTTAAAATGACATGGGGGGGTGTATTAGGAAAATCTCAGAAGTTGTATTTTTACTTAGTATGTTTTAATTTTGCCAGTTGTTAAGGTCTTCTTGGCCATATTTAAAAAAGTGGTTGTTGTTTTAAAATGGTAGATGTGCCTAAATGTAATTAAATTGAAATATAAGCCAACCAATCACAAATCATTGCCATACCATGAACATACCGCACTTAAATTATCTGTGATGTTAAAAACAGAGCCATGTGTGAATGACAGCGATACCTGCAGAGAAACATGTGATTTGATCAGAAGTGTTTGCATACGACTGTAACACATGAACATAATAAAGCTTCATTTTGTTTTTAACTAAAGGATACTTCTTTTTTTATATATAACATTGTTAATGACTAACTAAGTTTGTCAAATATACATTACAGCTCAATATTCATTCCCAGCAAACACTATTCCATACTACAGCAGCCTTTTCCACAACTGCTATAGCTGACACTGATGTAGTGTGATTTTCTAATTCTACTTCATATAATCCTCACCATACCCTTTATTAGAATACGTATACTGCACTTCCACTTACTGACCACTTTGTGAGGTCCATCTACCACACCGTCAAGATGGGCAATTACAGACTATTTACTGTCATCCACCAATGGGTGAACCATCCTCTACCCCATTCATCACTGGTCAGTTTCTGACTGCAGGGCAGCTGTTGACTAGATATAACTTGTGAATTTGACTGTTCTTAACACAGCTTAGTATGTGTGTGTGTGTGGTGCTAGTTTTAGTATTAGATGTCCAACGGTGACTGTGATCAGACTGACTGTTGATGATGGCTAACAAACTGTATAAAATCAGAGGGGCTACATTTTTAGCTGTACACCTGTAAGATGGAAATGGCGGTTATTTCTAGTAAAGTGGCCAGTGGGTGTATCATTGTTTGGTGTTTTGTTTTCTGTTTAGTGACAGCGGGGGCATTCTGTTGTGATTTGGTGCTGGACTCTCGATTGGATTCCTGGATCCCCTCAGAGGTCAGTCTGTGTGTTATTTGTAATGTCTGCAGGGGTGTGATCATGATGTCAGTGTACTGTTTAAGGAATGATTGGCCATTTCCAAGCAAGCTAGTTTAATGTCCCAGTAGTCTACTGCAGCAAAGGTGACACTACACTGTTGGAGTTTAACAACTTATAGGTGGTAACATTTTATTTACATTGCTGTTAATCAATAAATATTGATAATTAGGAATGCAAAATGTTAGGTGTACACACATGGGGATAGTGAGGAGTCATTAAATAAATCATTGTTTACATGCATTTCTGTAACTTTCACTGACTGACCAACAGGAGAGCCTGCGCTCTTTAACTCGTGAAGCTCACCAGCTCATCCATAAAGACTTACCCTGGGAGCCTCTGGAGGTGACGCCCCCTGTAGCCCTGGAGATCTTCTCTCACAGCAGGTATCTCTTTCCCTCTGACTGAACGGTAAAGGTTTCACATATTTTGGGGTTTCTTTAAATATTGTACATTTTTCTTGAAATTTGTTTTTTTCCACTGTGGTTCACTTATGACATTTGTCTGATTTTTTTTTTTTGTGTGTACCAAAAACAGACATGATGAATTTTTACAAGACTGTTTTTCCAACCTCTCATTTTTCTCTTAGACTTAAAGTACCCCTAAAGTCATAAACTACGTACCCCTGTTTCTAGACTCCACCCCTCTATGTTTGATCAGAAAAGAAGCAAAGTATGCTCCCATTATAACTTTAAAAATCAAAGAGATACTGCCTTTTTTCGTCCCTCTGGCACCAGTTACTTCACTTCACTATCTGGAAAAAGCTGCTGCGTGGTGCCCCACAAATCACAAAAAAAAACAAAACAAAAAAACAACAACAACAAAAAAACAAACAAACTATATAGCAGCTTGTGGGAGGCAACACAGCAGCTCAGGGCAGCACAACACATACACTGAGTGCTATGATAACACATACACAAATATCATGCTGTATAACCATAATAAGCCATCCAAGATAAGTTAACCATCTAAAAACTCAATTTTGAGTGCAAGGAGTCTTTAAACAGGCTGTTTTTGTTGCTGATCCTTTAAGACATATCTATGTTAATGATCTCTGTTCTAATAGGCTGCCCTGTATTGTGCCTCATTCAAAAAGCAGTCTAGACTCAAACACTAACTTTAACATGAATGGGCGGGGCTACAACTGCTGTAGGCTAAACGGGTAGATATATGTAAATATAATTTTACACAAAAATATTGAGTTCAAAATAGGCCATTTTCGGACTGTATGGACTGAGGGCTGAATAGTTCTATTTGAAATATTAACAATCTTTACATACATTAAACTCTATTAATTAAATTTTGATTCCATTATTTTCTTTTAAATGGTTTTCCCAGGACCAATGTTTACAAACTTAGTCAGCACCATAAATAAACTAAATTTTGATATGCAGCCATAGTGTTTTGCTTGCATGTATAGAATCACTGCAAAGTTTGCCATTTGCAGAACTGGTTTTAAATACAATACAAAATGCAATGCAAATTAAAAAATTACAGTGCAAATACAATAACTTTTTGTCTAAGGAAATAAATGATCGCAGAGAAGTGATAAGGCTTGATGAGGCCATCTTCTAGTAGGTATGGAACTTAAAAAATAATTTTGTGTGTCGCATTCGTGGAATGTTAAAAAAGCGTTGAATGTTATGTGACTTTTAGTATCCTAATTTAAGCAGCATAAAATTGCCTGTAATTTTTTTTAAGCAAAAATCATTTGACAGTTCATAATTGGTTTAGTTGTTTGAGGTTTTCCTGTCTGTAATAGTAACTGTAATAATAATATAACTGTACCTGATAAATCTCCACAATCAATCTCTTCCAGAGCAGAAAACTCTTATCTACCTTTCTGGGAAAGTCAGGTTCACATTTTTCAAATTCACATTTTTGATAGTAATGCATTCAATCCATTCCATTAAAGGGAAAATTGTTAATATATTTGAAAAATGAAATTGTTGAGATGTAAACAAAGTCGTTCAGAGTGGTTTGATGTGAAATGTTTGTTTGAAGAGAGACTTACTGACTCTTTATAGACAATCTATCGATCTGTCTTTCTTTACAGTTTTGGTAAAAGGAACCAAAGCTTGTGACGTCTACGATGCAATTACAGCCATTTTATTCACTCAGAATTGTTCACGGCCATTTAAAATGACCAGAGAACCTGCGTGTGTTTAGTTTTAATGTCTAATGCTGATCGTAATAAAATGTCGGTAAATTTGGGAAAAAAAGTTTTCTTTCTGTATTATTTTGCCTTGTAACACCTTGCATGTACTTCTCTGCTTTAAATAAATTCAAGTATATTTTATCTTATTATCTTATCTTCTCTAAACTCTATTCATCTTTATAACATCTATTTTGTGCCTATACAGATGTAAACAGGAAGAGGTGGAGGAAAAGGCTTCTCAGAGTCCCAGCGGCACTGTGTCATTATACAGGTCAACACACACACACACACACACGTGCTGTTTGTCCTGACAATAATGGACAGGTGTATCTGTATTCATAAATGCGTCACCATATCCTCATAAAACTGTATATTCTCAGAGCACACTTATTTAAACTGATATCATCCATCTCTGATGTACACTCTTGTTGTATGGCAGGTGTGGGGATCATGTGTTGCTGGCTGGAGGCCCCCTGGTGGCCAGAGCAGGCCTGTGCTCTCAGTATGAGGTGACAGCACTGCATACAGTGGGAGAAGGACAGTGGGGTTTACAGCGCCGGGCCCAGGGACTGTCATTGCCCTTCAACCTAACGGTACGGTAATATCCATGAAACAGAGCAGGTGCTCCCTGGTGAAATGACGTTTTGTTGAATTTTTTTATTATTTATTTTTTTTATTTTTTTTTAAAGTGAAAAGTTAAAACACTCTCAACAGGAAAAAAAACTAAAATGTGGCATTTTTAGTGAACAACTTCTATTTATTTGCTGAATTTAGCTAAAAATAAAAGATAGAAAATATGATATAACTTTTACAGAGGCCATATTTTATATTTTATGTGTTTCTCCATTTGTTTAATTCAGCAAATAAACATTATTTGTACAGAAGTGTGTTCTTTGCAGAGGTGTTATTGTTACTTAGAAAATCAACAAAACATGTAATTTGACCAGGGTGCCCAAACCTTTGCATATGACTGTACGTTAATGTAATGAGATTTTATTCCAAGGAATTTTAGGCCATTTCTGTTGGTCCATTCATCATGAAATGTTCAGACAATGTGAAGGGCAGCAATGCACATTTAGACACACTTTGGATTTGGATTATTATGACGATAATTGTGACATAAAATCACTGCAGGGTAGAGGCAGTTGAAGCTTTTTTCAGTGCTAGTGAGCTAGCTGTTAACCCTTTTGTTGCAGGCTAGCATGAAATTGGGATTTCCTTGGCTTTTAACTATGTTCTGTTTGCTGCCCTTTCAATGCAGCATCAGCTTTCACTACTTTGACTTTTTAACTTTATAACTGTTGACTTTAACATCATTAACTGACCTGTGATGAAGTGTTTGCCACAGATGTACATGTATTGACTGGCCAGGTCTCACAGTTTTACCATTTTCATCCTCTCTGCGGATGGCCTGAAGCCAAAGATTTCTCCTTTGCTGTCCTACGCTGTTTGGGGAAATAAGGAAAATCCTAAAAAACTGTTTTTTTTTTTTTTTCTTTTTTTATTGTTATACATGCAGCTTTCAGGCACAGCGCCACTAGAGTTTCAAAATGGCCGCTGGCACTCTGACTGGGTTTGTTTTCACCCATAAGGGAGCGTGGTTGATGGGATGACAGGGAAGTGATGTATGCCTGCTCTCATCTATGGAGTGAAACAGTTTTCATATGACAGCAATGGTGTGCAAATTTTTATTAAAGTTGTTAAAATTGTGCACAATCCTTGTTATTTTGACATTTTGCATAATATGAAAACTCCAGTTACTCTTTGCATTGTGTTAACATTTAATGATGATCTAACCAACAGAATCGGTCCAGAAGGACTTACAGTTACATTAACTTCCATTGCCAGTTAAGAATCATCACATGTTAATCCAAACTGCAGTTTTCACTCCACTACCCCTAAACATGTAGCACTAGATTCAGTGATTCTGGGATGTTTATTGAATTTTAATATCACGACATTTGGATAAATTACCGTAGTTAATGCTTCATGCCATCAACTGTATTTAGGTTGAAGACGATGCAGTTATCTAGACCATATTCTCCCGACCCACAGCCCACACAACCGACCACCACGGCCTATAAAATTTTATCGACCAGATCATTTAAAATGCAAATAAATATAAAACAAACATCAAAGTAGCCTGTCACTACTGTTTTACTTTATAAACCACTGTTGTGGATGAAGTTTTGTTTATGTAAGAAGAAATTGGTATTTCAAGGAATAAATAAACCATTAACGCAGCATGTTTCAATAGATGGTTTGACCATTTAAATTTCCTTACAACTCAATCAAAGGAGAAATGCCTTTTAAATACAGTTGGCATGAACAAGAGCTGCTGGTTCTATATTGGCCTGGGTGATGGATGTGCAAATGAGCAAATGTATTTAATGTATTTCCAGTGCCTTAGCTATGAGCTCAACCACAAAGTTTTATTACATAGTTCTATAGCCTAAGAATAGCTTCATTAGTTTGCACTGAAGTGCCTGTAATTACCGAATAATAAGCCTTAGTATGAAATAAACCTGGATTGTTAAGAGGTTAAAGTACTGGTCACATGCTTGTTATGTCCCGATTAATGTTTAATTTCACCAGTTAAAGGAATGTAGCTACATGTAACCAGTAGAAAGCAGCACAATAATAGTGATAAAAATCTGTTACGTTTGGTGTTAGTATTTAGTACTGGTAATTCAATTTTATTGAAAATTCTGCTAATGCTAATAGGACTAGGGATGTATCAGTATAGCATATCACACTGTATAGTTGTATCACGATTAGCATTTTAGCTTGGAGCTAATGTTATCTTATGACTAGAGCATTAGCAATGTGATCAAATTCAGGCAGCACTGTATTGAATCAACTCAAATAATGCATTTTGTGAATCATTACACCTCTAATAGGTACCCATAATAGCATGTCTCTGTACATTCACTTTGTCAGAACGTTCATTCACAGAAATATATTCCCGTTTGTCCCAGGCTCACCATTCAGTGTGGAGGAAGCTGAGGAAAAGAGCAGAGAACTTAGTAAGTATATTAGACTAAATTATATGTTGATCTACTGTTAATCTGATTACCCAGTACATATTTTGAGTGCATATTACTGAGTTTTGTAGCACTTTCACTTTGTTATTTATTCCAGGTTAAGATTCAGTCCTCTGCCACTAGTGAAAGCGTGACCACACCCACTCCTCCAGAAGCCACACCCTCTTCTTCCTAGCTGTGACCTGCACCCACCCATACATACAAAAATAACCGTGTATTTGTGTATTATATTGTTGAATAAACTGCATACAACCAAAACTAGTGTTTTGGTGTTCTTATTTGAAGTAGTCAATAGTGTAAGAAAGCGTACAGTGGGGTCCAAAAGCCTAGAAAAAGAATACTAGAAAAAAATGCTTCTATTTTGACTTTTTCTTTAGAATCTTAAACATTTTAACATGAATTTCAGTGTCTTTGTATTTGGTACAGTGTGTCCCCCTTTTGCTTTAATGACAATGTACACAGACAAGTTTGTGCAAAAACCTCTGATCAGTAGATCAGATCCACCCTCATCTTAACTTCAATGGAAGGAAAAGGATTAAAAAACTGGCTGTTTTATTTAAAAGCCTTAATGTGGTCAGTTTTACAGTTTGCTTCAATTTATATAGTGAACTACTGTTTTAACATTTACTTTGAGATGTTTCAAAATTCTGTCACTTACTGTTTGATTAAAAAAACAGATTTTCATAGTCCTCTCAAACTTTTAGACCCCACTATATGTTACTTTTAATATACAGTTGTATGCAAAAGTTTGGGCACTCCTGGTCAAATGATGTTTGATTAACTGAAAATAAGTGAAAACGTCTTCTACAGAGAGCACCCTTTTGTACATTTTAATGAACAATTACTATTTATTTGCTGAATTTAGCATCTTGGATTGAAAAAAAAAACATAAAATGCGCCCTCTACTGGAACTGTGCACTGAAATTTGTATGAAAATGCTGTATTTGAGTTTGTTCTCTGCAGAGGATATGCTAACTCATTTTCACTTAGAAAATCAACCAGTGGTGTTCAAACTTTTGCACACGACTGCACATTAATGTACTTTTGGACCATTTCTGTCAGCTGCAGGCAGCTGCTGTTTAAAAAAAATAAAACACCATTATATAAAATCTTTTCATAGAACAGTAACAATACATGACTAGGAACAACCATTGGGCGGCGGTCAATGTTTTCATATGTTCTGATGACAGTCTGGCTGCTGCTGCTGTCAGCGAGAAACCTAACTATTGTTTTGTGGCAGCCGAGTGTATAGAGTTGCAAAGCTAATTTGTTGAAAGTGGCCAGCGATCACATGGCATGATACCCCTCTGCATCTGTTTGGAGTTAAAGCTTTAAAGGAATGTCATGCTGTGCGTGTGTGTGTATGTAAGGCCGTGTCAGTGGGTGTGTTGGTGTGCTGCATGTCTGGCCTTGCCTGGTCAGCTGGAGGTGTGTGTGTGGGAACGAGAGTGAGAGTGTGTGTGTAAGTAAAGTAAGCGGTCAGCACTTCGGCTGGTCTGAGACAAAGGCAGTGTTGTGTGTGTGTGACCGTCAGGGTCGCGGCAACTGGCCTGTCCGTCATTTGGGGACAGGTGCAAGGAGCGCTGGCTGAGGATTTAAATGCCACTGTGGTTGACGAGCTGTGACTCCACCATCACTTAAATCCATCTCACATTTAAAACCTTTAGCAGCTGTATTGTGTTTGGATATCGAGTGATTATTACCAAAAGACTAAAAGGCTGCGGTTGTTGGGTTTCATCAAGATCTGAACTGTGGCCAGGTGGAGGGTCTGGAAAACCCTCTAGAGAAAAAGGATTTGTTGTGTTTTGGATGCTAGTATGCTGTTCAGCTAGCATGATCACATTGGGTAATCAGCCAAATCGGCACCAGACCAGCTTAGACCAGCATAGATAGAAACCAGATGTTTGAGGCGTTTATTGCAGGGTTGTCCAATCATAAGTGCAAAGGGCTGGTGTGGCTGCAGGTTTTCATTCCAACAAATCGGGAGCTCACACGATCAGTTGTTTGAAGACTGACCAATTGATTTAAACAAGTGGAATCAGGTGAGCTCCTGCGGCCACACCAGCCTCCTGCGGTAAGTTTGGAGACCCCTGGTTTAATGCCTCTAAGAACTCCTATCACAGAATGTTATTACATTAAATGATTATTCGCTGCCTGATTCCTGAGACATAGATTCTTTTGCCATAGATTTGAAAAGATTTTGGCCTCAAATTTAGTTTTTAAAACTCAGCAATGAGCTAAATATATACAAAATCATAATTTATGGGGTACTTTCTGTTTGGAGGTGACCGTCCCAAACCCTAACCCTGAAATTTACATTTGTGAAAATAATACTTATATGTTTTGATCGCTTTTAATTTTAAGTATAGATTTAGGTTTATCATGAGTTTCATTTTAAATAAAAAAAAAAATTAAAATTGTCCCATTTTTTTCATGTCACTACTGAAACACAAAAAACATTTTAGCCACGCCCGTGCATTTTAGAGCAGAAAGTGAGGCTACATCCCTGTCCCTCATGGCCACATGGTGAGCAGATAGATCTCATTGTTTTGAAGTAAATGTGTCCCAAATTCTGGAAATCAGTGGGGAACATTAAGAATTGTTACTACAGAAACACTTTTTTCTGCAGTTTGGTAAACTTTTGTGTGTTTTAATGAAAAATATTATGATTTTATGTGTGTACAACTGTTCAAAGCTGTATTGGCTAGTCATGTACTGGCTAGCGTTTTTGGGTTCTGCTCAAAATGAGCTAAAATTGTCACTACCGAAACAGTCACTACTGAAACATTTGTTAAAGTTTCTGTAGTGTTATTATTGTTTTAGTAGTGACATAATGGAATGTTTCTACATTTTGTTTTAATGAAATAAACATAATTACGGTGTGCGGTCACCCAAAGCAAAAGGATTTTAGTCTGAAGGCCAAGCCAGTTAAAAAGTGCAAAATGGGTTATCAACTCTGTAGAATGATCCATCCATCATTTTTGTTTAACATCCTAAGTTTTTCTGAAAGTAAAGATACCCTGACGCACAGTGGTTGTATGCTGGCTTTGTCCTTTCATTGCATGTGAAAAATAAATAAATATTAACTTTTGTAAAACCTGGGAGAAGAATTAAGAAAAAAGCCCCCCCGCCGAATCTCATTTTGTTGGCCTGCGTAATGCAGGCCTGCTCTTGAGGTTGGGCTCTAAAGCCCAGCTGCTGTCTGTGTAAAGAGACCCACCCTTTCGCTCCTCAGGACAAATGGACTGCCTGCTGCTGCTTCTTATCGGGCCAGTGGAGATGTTTGAGACGGTGCCATCATGGCCCACCAGTGTTTATCCACCTCCCTGCCAAATCTGATCTCAGTAGGGCCAGCAGTCTTCTGCGATCCATCTGTAGCGGTTATGCAGGGCGCTCACTGATCTGGAGCATTTCTCCAGTGTTCCCTTCAAAGGCAGCTCAGCTCAGTGTATCATGAACATAGCTTCACATGAATATCTACCATTACACATGTATGCATTTTGGAGTTTCACTTCAGTTCTGCAAATGTGGAGGGATGAAGCCTAACAGAAACATACGCACTCAGTTTAGACTTGAAGGAATACGTTATATAGAGTCGTGTGCAAAAGTTTGTATGCCCCTGGTCATATTACATGTTTTGTTGATTTGTGAAAATAAGTCCTATAAAGAGGACACACTTCTGTACGTTTTAATGGACTATTACTGTTTATTTGCTGGATTTAACATTATGGGGAAAGAAACCTGGAAATGTGGCCTGTGCAAAAGTTATAGCACATTTAATATGTTTTATTTGTGTTTTCCTAAAATGTTGAACTCAGTAAAGAAATAGAAATTGTGCACAAAAAGTGTAATATTTACATTTGTTCATTTTAGAGGATGTCTTATTTTCACTTATTTTCAAACTCATATAAGTTGAGCAGGGGTGTTCAAACTTTTGCATATGACTGTAAAGTTTGTAGACACCTGTTCTTCAGCGTTTCTTCTGAAATCAAGGATATTAATTGGAAGTTTTGTAACCCTTTGCTGCACTAACAGCCTTGATTCTTTGGAATGGGATACACTGTTGGAACATTGCTGTGAGGATTGGATTGCATTCAGCCACAACAGCATTAGTGAGGTCAGGTCCTGATGTTGGATTATTCGTTCTGGATCATAAATGTCACTCTAACTCATCTCAAAGGTGTTTCATCACTCATCACTCCAGAGAACGCAGTTCCACTGCTCCACAGCCCACTGCTGGGGGCTTTATACCCCTCTGGCTGACGCCTGGCAGTGAGCACAGTTACCATCCTATTGCCATTGCTTCTCTATGGAGATTATTCAAGATGTGTCAGCATTCACTCATTAAAAGCGGCGTCTGAATACTTTTGAACCTACAGACATTTCATGCGAGTTTCTTCAACAAATCTCAGCGTCAGCTATTGTTCCCAACGGGGGCTCACTGTGGGCTGTTCTGCACTAGTAGAGCTTTTGATCTAGCATGCACAGATCAGATGCCATGAGGAGATCTAACACACTCAAGTGTCACAGGTGGATTATCCCGGGAATGGCGTCGATTTCCAGCCCTTTTCAGCACAGCTGCACTCAAGGCTTTCCCGGGAGTCTCAACTCGTTTGATCCGCTTCACAGTTGCTCAAGTTCCCATGAAAGTTTGATATGTTTACGCGCGCCAATCGTCTGTCTTGGAGTCTTTACCTCTTCAAGATCGTTTTTACACATGCATATGCCTGATTATCCTTTCAGAGAAGCTGAAACAGTCAGGGAGCTGAGGTGATTCCCCTCCCTGCCCTTCACCCGTCACACAGCCCCAACACAGAAAACGCCAGCAGCACAACTTAAAGTGCGCGTCTGAGCGCCTTGTTTATTTTATTTCCCACCCGTTTTCTGACAAGCCACGCCTCCGGCGCCACGATTGGCTGACAGCTACTTAATAATCACTTTTGGCCAATAACTGTTGATGTTGTTGGATATATTTCATCTATAACATGTTTTCTCTAGAACGGTAATCATGAAAATGATAAAAGTCAACAGAAATCTGTTTATTTTGGCGTGTTTTGTTCATTTGTGTCTGACTGTATTTTTCCAAAAGTTAAGTGACTGATTCACATCTCTGAAGTTAGGCTCGTTCTGTAGTCAGTCATGCCCATATTAATAATTCCGGGTCTAAGCAGTTTTTCTCAATGGGAAAAATTAATGGTGTTTTCAAAAATTACAAGGTTGTTTGGCAGCCGAAATATAAATAATGCTAATTGCTACACTAAAGGTAACATTCTTAAGCATCGACTACTACTACACTGTTACACAGCATTTATGTTAGTGAGCCTCCTAGGCTAGTAGAGTTAGTGAGTTAATAGACTCAGATGTTAGTGAGCCTCCTAGGCTAGCAGAGTTAGTGAGTTAGTAGACTCAGATGTTGGTGAGCCTCCTAGGCTAGCAGAGTTAGTGAGTTAGTAGACTCAGATGTTGGTGAGCCTCCTAGACTAGCAGTTAGTGAGTTAGTAGACTCGGATGTTAGTGAGCCTCCTAGGCTAGCAGAGTTAGTGAGTTAGAAGGCTCAGATGTTAGTGAGCCTCCTAGGCTAGCAGAGTTAGTGAGTTAGTAGACTCAGATGTTGGTGAGCCTCCTAGGCTAGCAGAGTTAGTGAGTTAGTAGACTCTGATGTTAGTGAGCCTCCTAGGCTAGCAGAGTTAGTGAGTTAGAAGGCTCAGATGTTAGTGAACCTTCTAGGCTAGCAGAGTTAGTGAGTTAATAGACTCTGAGCCTTCTAGGCTAGTAGAGTTAGTGAGTTAGTAGACTCGGATGTTGGTGAGTCTCCAAGGCTAGCAGAGTTAGTGAGTTAGAAGGCTCAGATGTTAGTGAGCCTCCTAGGCTAGCAGAGTTAGTGAGTTAATAGACTCTGAGCCTTCTAGGCTAGTAGAGTTAGTGAGTTAGTAGACTCGGATGTTGGTGAGTCTCCTAGGCTAGCAGAGTTAGTGAGTTAGTAGACTCGGATGTTAGTGAGCCTCCTAGGCTAGCAGAGTTAGTGAGTTAGTAGACTCAGATGTTGGTGAGCCTCCTAGGCTAGCAGAGTTAGTGAGTTAGTAGACTCCGATATTAGTGTGCCTCCTAGGCTAGCAGAGTTAGTGAGTTAGAAGGCTCAGATGTTAGTGAGCCTCCTAGGCTAGCAGAGTTAGTGAGTTAGTAGACTCGGATGTTGGTGAGTCTCCTAGGCTAGCAGAGTTAGTGAGTTAGTAGACTCAGATGTTGGTGAGCCTCCTAGGCTAGTAGAGTTAGTGAGTTAGTAGACTCAGATGTTAGTGAGCCTCCTAGGCTAGCAGAGTTAGTGAGTTAGTAGACTCAGATGTTGGTGAGCCTCCTAGGCTAGCAGAGTTAGTGAGTTAGTAGACTCAGATGTTGGTGAGCCTCCTAGACTAGCAGTTAGTGAGTTAGTAGACTCGGATGTTAGTGAGCCTCCTAGGCTAGCAGAGTTAGTGAGTTAGAAGGCTCAGATGTTGGTGAGCCTCCTAGGCTAGCAGAGTTAGTGAGTTAGTAGACTCAGATGTTGGTGAGCCTCCTAGGCTAGCAGAGTTAGTGAGTTAGTAGACTCTGATGTTAGTGAGCCTCCTAGGCTAGCAGAGTTAGTGAGTTAGAAGGCTCAGATGTTAGTGAACCTTCTAGGCTAGCAGAGTTAGTGAGTTAATAGACTCTGAGCCTTCTAGGCTAGTAGAGTTAGTGAGTTAGTAGACTCAGATGTTGGTGAGTCTCCAAGGCTAGCAGAGTTAGTGAGTTAGAAGGCTCAGATGTTAGTGAGCCTCCTAGGCTAGCAGAGTTAGTGAGTTAATAGACTCTGAGCCTTCTAGGCTAGTAGAGTTAGTGAGTTAGTAGACTCGGATGTTGGTGAGTCTCCTAGGCTAGCAGAGTTAGTGAGTTAGTAGACTCGGATGTTAGTGAGCCTCCTAGGCTAGCAGAGTTAGTGAGTTAGTAGACTCAGATGTTGGTGAGCCTCCTAGGCTAGCAGAGTTAGTGAGTTAGTAGACTCCGATATTAGTGTGCCTCCTAGGCTAGCAGAGTTAGTGAGTTAGAAGGCTCAGATGTTAGTGAGCCTCCTAGGCTAGCAGAGTTAGTGAGTTAGTAGACTCAGATGTTGGTGAGCCTCCTAGGCTAGCAGAGTTAGTGAGTTAGTAGACTCCAAGCCTCCTAGGCTAGCGGAGTTAGTGAGTTAGTTGACTTGGATGTTGGTGAGCCTCCTAGGAGAGCAGAGTTAGTGAGTTAGTAGACTCGGATGTTAGTGAGCCTCCTAGCCTAGCAGAGTTAGTGATTTAGAAGGCTCAGATGTTAGTGAGCCTCCAAGGCTAGCAGAGTTAGTGAGTTAGTAGACTCAGATGTTGGTGAGCCTCCTAGGCTAGCAGAGTTAGTGAGTTAGTAGACTCAGATGTTGGTGAGCCTCCTAGGCTAGCAGAGTTAGTGAGTTAGTAGACTCAGATGTTGGTGAGCCTCCTAGGCTAGCAGAGTTAGTGAGTTGACAGTATTGAACACTTCTAGGCACGGCTCGAGCTGTGGGGAGGGAACGTAACCAATCACAGCGCAGTGGGCGGGGCTTGTCAGAATGCAGGCGGGAAAAAAACACGGCAGCGCGAGGAGAGGAAGCGTTGGAGGAGAGGCGCTGCTTGGATCCATGACGCAAGAAAGCGCAAGTCTGCACCTCTCATTAAGAGACCACCACACACACAAACACACACACACACACACACATAGCCTAACATTTACACACACACACTCATCAGGAGGGCACTGACTCTCTCCGGACTCGTTCTCCTCCGTGCTGAAGAGTTGGCGGTGTTGAGAATGCTCGCCCTGATCTCCGCTCTGCTGCTGCTGCACAGTGAGTAGTTGAGCCCGCTCATCTCCTTACAGCCTTACAGCCCGATTATGCACTCTGAGACCCGGATTAGGCTACTCTCAGTAAGTGGTTCATTGTTGTGTGGTTGTGATTGTGAGAGAGTGGGAGAGAAAGTGTGTATGAGGGTTTTTTTGTGGTAAAAGCAGATATTTTAGTGGAGCACTTGAGCCTTCTTAAATAGGTAAATGAAAAAAAAAAACTAAATAATAAAATAAATAAATAAATAAATAAATAAATAAATAAATGGACATGAAAAGTTTTTAATACGCACTTCAGTTCTTCCATTTCATTTCAAAAGCAAAAGTTTAGGCTCCATTAATCTGGATCAAATCGTTTTATGGCCAAAGAATTGACTGCACACATGACAGATGAGGGATCTTGGGATTTAGATTAACTCTGCATTGTTCATCCGGGACGAGAGAGAGAGAGAGAGAGATAGAGAGAGAGAGAGAGATGACTGAGAGGCGGATGGAGCAGTCCACAGCCCAGAAAGACAAATAAAACAGTTCTTTATGGTCAGACACCTGCGACCTCAACAACACCAAGCTGACGGCAAATGGCTTTTAAGGCTGTTAGAAGAAGAGTCTGAGGAAAAGAAAGATCAGTGAGGGAAGAGAGAGAGTGTGAAAAATGAACAGCTTTGTTAGACAGTAGCGGTCAGTCTGGGGGCAGGATGTGACTCGGCTGGTTCATGATGGCCATGGAATGGAAAAAGCTGGCACTATGAGTCAGACTTTAATTTTATTTTAATTAATTTTATTAGTTTTTTATTTATTATCATGTTATTTACTGTTATTTAAAATGTAATTTTACATATTGGTTATTATGTAACATTAATATTAACAATGCTAATTTTACTTTGTTTGTAGGTTGATGTCAGTTTTATTTTCTTACTTTATTTTTATTATTTTTAATTTTTTTTATTTTACTATAAAGTATTTTTATTTTTATTTTTTATTCTCAGATTTATGTTAAACTAATTTATTTGTATTTATTTTTTATCATCAAGTATAGATTTTTTATTTGACATTATTTTTCAGTTAACACTTTTATTTATCAGTATGTTTATTTATTTAGGTGTAGGTCGATGTGTACAGCACACTCACTGTTACTGGTACATGACTGGTCAGGCTGTAGTGGTAGCAGTGTGTTTATGTTTGTGTGTTTCTTTGGAAGCTGAAGCTACTTTTTTCATTTCTTTTTTAATTGTATTGTTTATCTATAAGAAATACAGACAAATACTCAGTTCTGTGTCCAGAGCTTCGTGTCCAGTGAGTCTGGTAAAGGCTCTAAGAGATTGTTCTGTGCTTACTGTACGTTCCAGCAATGATGTGTTTGTCCAAACATGAACGCAAGGGTGTGTTGTTGATGCCTCTGTTTCTGATGGGTCTTAATGTGTGTGTGAGACGGCGGTGGAGGGGGGGGGGCTACTACTGGATGGTTGTGCATGTGTGTGTACGTGTGTGTGTGTGTGTGTGTGAAAGAGGTTGAAGGTGGGGCTCTCTGTGCCACCCGGCTGAGCCAGCTGTTCCCTCTGACCAGTGCAGAATTACACTCGCACAGAGAAGCTTTGTTTTCTCTCTCTCTCTCTCTCTCTCTCTCTCCCTCTCTCTCACTCTCTCTCTCTCTCTCTCTCTCTCACGCACACACACCACACTTGTCAACATTGCGATTCGACCAGGTTTTCTTTCTCCTTGCCAAGCAGCTAACATGCGAACATTTCTAACGTGCCGTGAAAATATCCGCCCAGCTGACCACAAAGATCAAAATGCAATACTGATAAAATGGATAAACATCTAAAACAAAAGTGCATTTAGTAAATGCACCGGAAGTCACTGCATGGCAAGAAACCCAACAGCCGCATGCACATGTACCAGAATTATGCTCCTTGTGTAGAATACTATGCGGTACCATCATTAAGATCCAAATCAAAATGAATAAACTTGATCCAGATTTGATCAACAGTGCAGATTAAGAAATCAATCTCTTTCCTTAAGTGTTTTGACACTACTGCATATTACTATATGCATTTTATTGAAAACAAGCGCCTGTATTGGATGCACATATATTATATACACAAACAAATGTGTGCCCGCAACAAGTATTGGCACCCTGTAAACATGAGCAAAATGAGCTGTAAAAGTATTCAAAATAATCCTAACAGAAATCTGACCTTTGAAATACAGTGACTGAAAAAAAAACTAAATCTTATCATGGAATAAATATTTTTCTCAAGTCTATGTGTGCCACAATTGTTGGCACACCTAGAAATTCTTATGAGTGAAATCTGACTGAAGTATATTCTTATTCATATGTTGTGTTTCAAAGTTCACCTGAGCAACTAGAAACACTTAAGTGGTCAGCCATGACCATTTAATTTATAGGGTATAAATATGAGGTGACAAACAGGCCAAACTCCCTCAGTCATCCATCACTATGAGAAAGACCAGAGAATACAGCAGTGATGAGAGCTGCACAAATCAGGAAATGGCTACAAGAAAGTAAATGAACAGTTGAAAGTGCCATTTATACTAATAAGAATTATTAAGAGTTAAGCGTAATAGTACAAAACTCAGAGCTGTTATCTTTGCAAAGGGAGGCTGCACAAAGTATTAAATGAAGGGGCAGTAGTTGTGGCACACAGGGATCTGAGAAAGATATTTATTTCATGAAAAAATGTAGTAATGTTTTATTTTAGTCATTGTACGTAAAATAGAGGTTAGATTTTAATTGATATTTGATGATCTTCTACAGGGAACAAACATAAATATGACATTTTTGTAAAAAAAAAACTGATGCACAATTTTTATTTAATTGGTGAGTTTAACATATTGGAAAACAATTCAAATAATAAAAAAAACTTTGCAACTTTGCACAGGCTATAATATGTTTGTATTTTTTGGTTTAATGTGTTAAATTCAGCAAACAAACAGTAATTGTGCATTAGTATGTGCAGAAATGTGCTCTCCATACAGGATGTGTTCACTTATTTTCACGCAGAAAAACAACAAAATGTCAACCAGAGGCACCCAAACTTTTGCATACAACTGTATATGTACTATCCATTCACATACATTCACAGGTCATCCCTACATAAATGCTAGCCAGTTGAGCAGTCTTTGTAACTGAAGCTCCTGCCATAATAAAGCCTCTTTCAAAGTCATCCAGATCTTTTCCTCTTGTCATCTTTATCCAAAATTGAGGTCAACTGGACCTGTTCAGCATTTTGTACATGCCACAGGGCACATGGTAGGATGTTAATTGCTTAACTGTATCATGCACTACACCTGTCTGGAAGCATATATATATATATATCACTATTGTCGGAAGAAAACCTCGTATCTCCAAAATGATCGCTTTACAGGAAAAGGAAAAAACCTACTTTACTTTTAATATAAGTAATATAAGAGTTTTTCCCATGTTATTTTGGGCCGTTTTTTTTTTTGGTCCGTTCATCTTGAAAGTTACACACAATGTAAAGAGTAACAGGTATTTTCAAATTATGTCAAAAACTGGAAAAAAAAATATATATATATTTTTATATCATACACTTATATCATCCTACAATATACATTGATCACATATTCATAGTTCCATTTATTGATTTATATGTGTAGAACCTCTGTACCTTCTATTGTCATGCATTCATAGGTCGTCTATGTTCTTGGGTCCAGCCATGCGTATAGAAGAGTGCTTTAAAAGCTTTAACTCAGTGTCCTTACCCATCACTGTAAGTAACACGTGAGTCGCTGTCTTGCTCTGAATCAGTGAGTGAGCATGTTTCCATGCTGACTCAGGTTTTTGAGTGTCTTGGTGTGACAGGTGTGTGTATGTGTATGTGTGTGTTTGTGTGTAGACTGTGGCAGTTTCAGTGGGGACTCGGGGAGGAAGTGCAGGCAGCATGTCAGACTTGTCCTCCCTAGTTTCTTATCTGACCGCGACTACTCCTTTGGACGGCGTTCGTCAAAGTGGTCTCTCACACAATGGCCCAGACTCTCTCTCTTCATTTGCCTCTCCCTCATCTCCCTTTTTCCTCTATTTTACTGTAGCCAGGATATCACAAAAGCTCTTAGAATGAAAGTGACATGCTGCAAGGCCAGGCTAGTTACACAGCTGTGTTGATAAAAATGTTGGAGTTCTTCAGTCCTGAGTCCAGTTTTTGGGTTTTCTCTTGTAATGGTAAATGTATTGCTTTAGGAATAGTAAGCAGGTCCTAGTTCAGCGCAAAATGCCTCTACCCATAGTGCAGGTGGTGTTGCAGGAATGGCAGCAGCTCGAAAAGGACATAACAGTCGATAAGATTATGCTTGCTGCTATGTATGTATCTTTCAGGTTGCAACTACACTGCGATAACACAGATAAAGGACAAAATTTGGAACAGTTCTCATTTGTCTTGAATTATCTGTTGTATGGAGCAAGGCTGCAGAGGTTGGACTCCCTTTACAATGGCAGTTTAGGTCTGGCTTAGGTAGCTATGTTACTACTGTGTAGGGGAATTTTCACCCTATACAATTTTAATGTATAAATATTTTTTAACATATTAAATTGCGCTGCTTTTGTTTCCTTATTTTTATATAAATGCTGTTTAATTATGCACAAGAACAGCTGTTTTAGAAATGGGGAAAGTCTCTGACCCAAGACCATTCAGTTCAATTTAATTGCAGTTCAGTTCAGTTCTATTTGTAGGAGGCTTTTAACAATAGACATTGTAATAAAGCAGCTTTACAGAAATGCACATTCAAACCAAACCTCTGAAGAGTGAGCTGAGGGGACAATGTCAGGAAAAGCTTCCTAGGAGCATGAGGAAGGACCACTAAGAGGATCTAAGACTTAAAAGGAAAAACGTCCTAAGAGCACGAGAAAGAAACACTTAGAGGGACCAAGACTCTGAAGCAGAGCCCATCCTCCTGTGGGCTGCATTGATTAGTGAAGTTACTATGCAATTAGAATAAACACGTTACATGTTTAGTGTTAAGTTATTTAGGCACCACAAGGCTGATGTAGCTAACAAGTAATGGAAGCTTATACCTACCAATATAAAAACAATTAATCGTTCAGCCCTATGAAGAATGGCTATTCCTTACTGAATTTCACCGTATTGTTTTATGACCAGTTAACAGTTGTAGTTATTGTCACCTTTCTGAAGAGTTCATTAATATGATAAGTATTTCATTTCATGTTTTTGAGTGGTGTTTTATTCAACACACACAGCACACTTGGCACCAAAACATTCTCAACTGCTGAAATCTGTTTTCCAGCCTGGCCAACGAGTCCTTTCTTACATGACCAAACCCAAAGTGCCAATGTCCTGATATCATTCTGCAGTTACTTTCTGTTCCCTGTTATCCAGCTGAAAAAAAGTAAGAGAAAATTAAACTCTAGTATGAAAACAAGGAAGTGGATGGAGAATAGTCAAAGACAAAACTATGTCCTACAGTGAAAACAATCCCAGCCGTGTCTTGTAGGCCATTTCCTTTTATGAGTCACACAGAAATTCCCGAATATGGTTTGGTGTTACTTTATGGGGCATAACTGAGAGCATTACAAATATGGCTATGTGAGAATAAAAGTTAAAAAGAAGCTCAAATACGTATATGACACTGCTGGAGCAGTCGCGTATGAGCCTGAGGTCACCATGCCCAATGTAAAGCATTGACTAGAGCGGCATAAAGCCTCTCAGCATTGGGCTGTGGAGCAGTGAAACTGTGTTCTCTGGACTGATGGAGCTCCATCCAGTTCCTTCGAGTTGAATCAGAGTGGCATTAGTAATCCAGAACATCAGTACCTGACCCCACTGATGCTCTTATGGCTGAATACAATCAAACCCTAACAGCAATGTTCCAGCATCTAGTGTAAAGCCTTCCCAGAGGAATTGCTGGTACTGAAACTCCCTATTAATACCCTTGATATCAGAGGAAACCTTGAGCAAGTGTCTACAAGTGTTTGCTCTTGGATCCATGCAGGCTCCAATTGTGCAGTGCATCCACTCTCTCTACATTTCACAGGTGAAAATGTCATCGAATGACTGTAAGCCTGTTTGACATCACACGTTCTTAAATAGAAACATGAAGGAAGTTCCACTGGGTCAGAAGCAGGAAGCGCTACCTGGAACTACGGGACATGCATGTTGATGGATTTGAGAAGTGTGACCGGGAAGCAGAAGTGTGTTTCCCAGACACTGATAGGAAACACCAAAACTTTCATAACAGGGAACTCCTGAAATAGACTGAATTTTAAAGGACCATCAGTCACTGATTTGAAGAATTGTATTTTAAATCTTTAATCTCTCTGGTTTGATTAGATTTTCAATGTTTGTAAACAAGGAGCCCCGCTCTCCAAGGTCACTTTGAGCAGCCGTGGCTTAGCGTGGTCAAGCATGGTATTTCATAATGTAGTGTTAACAGGAGATTGTGTGTTGCTGCACATGACAGTGATTTTTCTGTAGAAATAGCTTTTTTCCTTCACTACATTTCCCAGACTGTTTTTGATAGTAAAATATCTCTAGTCTAACCTGTTAATCTGTGACAAGTTATTTAGTTATTTAGCTGTACAAACAGTGAACTGCTGACGAATACTATTAAGCATTTTTAGTACTTTCAAATTTAAAAATTAGCACAGTTAAGTTAGCAAATTAGCTAACACATTTCAGAGCTGGGACCCACTAGGGAGTATATATTCTCAAAAATGATATGCAAAGTTTTGTTCTTTGCAGTCAGACCTGTTGTTTAACTAGAAGTAATGTGAGTAAAAAGCACCAGTGAAAGATCTGACTAGGTCTCCTACTCACTGCTTGCGACGGAGACCTATGATTCTGACTCATTTTAGTTGCACTCGAAAGATGAAAGGTCTGTTGGACATGCTTTTCAAGACTACAGTACAATTATATTCAGGCCATTATAAGTTTGATGTACAGAAAGCGACTAATTATGCCTTGGTGATGTGATAATGTGGGTTGATGTGATGGATCATCTCTGGACAGAAACAGGATAGCAAAACAATGGGTGTGATGCAAAAACCAATCAGCAGAGAGGAAGGGCTGCACCGGTTTCCTGTTCCTTACAGGAAGTTGGACTTCAGTGTAAGTTGTGGCCCCACTCTTCAGGAAAGCTAACCTCACCACTGTTTGTTCGGTATAGAGGTCATGTTTCAATAGATACTATTTATACACAAATTGTACTTATATTTTTGGTTGCTTCACTTTCTAAGCAACAACATTGTCTGGACAAGTAGTCCCTTGGCAGCGACCTGGCCCTTCTGTTTCAGGGAAAAGGAGTACGTTTTAAATACAATCAGTTCCCTGTTTTTCCCCTCGAGATGTAATATACCGTGTTTTTCGTTTGTGTCTGTCCACAATTCCAAAGCGAAGTGGTTCCAAATCAACACGTGCTTCAGGAGTTCATGATGGCTGGAGCCAAGACGTTATATTTGACTATGACTTAAGCAAGTACCTGGGAGAGTGGGGCACAAACTTTTTGGGTTTTGCTACATAATTAATATATTTTAAAAATTAATCACTACAAATGAAAACTTTGTTTCCAACATTTAACTTTTTGAACAGTTCAGCAAAAAAAAATACCACATAGGCATGACAAACTGAAGCTAGTTGTTGCTAAAAAGTCTGGTAAAATGATGCAAACATAACTTTTTCAATACAATTTTATGTTCGTTTAACCCAGACGGGCTTTCCAACCCAAAAAGATGAAAATGTATTCAAAATAAATACGATTAGTGAAAAGAGACTTTGTCAAACACTGGCAAATTTATTTCTGACCACAAAATAGGAAATTAGTACCATAATTAACTGAAATATATTTTATTTACACATATTATCAATGTGTACAAGTGACCGAGTGCGGTGGCAGTATTGGAATACAGAAATACAGTTTGTGTACTCGTTCTGTATCATCACAGAAAATCTGAGATAATATAAAGACCAACAATTCAATGAAATGCCACTTTTATATTTTAACAAGTCTGTAAAATGCTATGCTTTTGCTTGTATTTGTACATGAACATATATATTACACTGTGCCACTCCAAAACATGACTACTTTTACATGCATGCATTGTTATTGAGCAGGAATGGAATATAGTGTACAAAACCATGTTTTCATTAGTGTATAATCACCTGTAACTACAAATCATTGTTTCGTTAGCTTAGAATGAGCCCTATATCTACTAGGGAGTGGGTCCTCTTCCAACAGAGGCCGCCATGTTTCTACAGTAGCCCAGAACAGATAAACCAATCACTGGAGGACAAACCAAACATTGGCTTTAGAGAGCGCCTTTCATGTTTTTACATTGAAGTGGCAGCTTGAATTAGGTGGCGCTGTAGCTCTGGTTGGAAGATGTAGAAAGAAGAAGAATCAGTGGTTACTGCTGGTGTTGGCTAATCATTTTGTGCAGTGAGAAGTTTGAGAACCCAAATTTTGGCAAATGAAGGATCATACTTATTATTTAGCAGAAGAAAAAAAACATGATGGCCACCGAATGTTCTACTACACGCTTGGAAAGGGAGGGGTGAAGGGGGGGTGTTCAGTTGCTCACCGTTAGATACCACTAAATCCACACAGCACCTTTAATGACATGATTGAGAAGGCAGATGTAGCATGGTTTTATTATTTGACGAGGCTAGGCCAACTACTCTAACTGATGTTAGCTAGGTCCAGAAGTACTGGAAGTGTTTTCCTTTGCTTACTACTAAATTTTTGTGCCACTTGTTTTTAGCCACCCAACACCATAGCTGTCATCCAAATGAGCACATTAACTTTGGCCAAAGCACTTTTTTTCCCTTACTTGCAGTTAACTGTATATCCATGAACTCTTGCGGATACACGAATATCAAAATTTGTCAGATTGCACATCCCCACATCATATCTGTAGGACCTTTTTGATGGCTCTCATCATAAAAACCATCCAGGCTTAACACTGTGCTAGTACCAACATCACCATGTGGAGGCTGTACTTTAGCCTGGCTAGGTCTCACTGTTGAGTTGTTTATATGTGTCAAAATGGAGCTATATTACAGCTATATTTAAACAATATCAGAGTGAATTCTGTGAGATATATTCACAACTCAGTAATAAAAAACAATTTACTTTTATGGTACAAAAACAGTTTTCAGGGTGAGACTGATTGCTGTGAAAATGTGCAGATGATATTGAAATGGGAATACATGAACATGATTAAAAGCATGTTTAACTACATAAAACATCCATTTTGGCTATTCATAATTGATCCATTTATCAATTATGAATAGCCAAAATGGGCTAGGATAGGTCACTGATGTGACCAAGACTCTGTTGATGATCTCTCCAATAGGTCTCCATGTTGCCCCGGTGACAGTCAGCACCTCCCAATCCAAAGTAGAAGTGCAGGAGAATTCAGGTGAGTGAGGTTTGAAGAAAAAAAAGAGATACACTATATGGACAGAAGTATAGAGACATACCTCTCAATCACTGTTTCATTTAGTCCCATTGCCACAGGGCCCCCAGTGCACAAAACAAGGTCCATAAAGGCATGGCTGGGTGAGTCTGGTGTGGAAGGACTTGACTGGCCCACAAAGAGCCCTGACCTCAACCCCACCAAACACCTTTGGAATGAACTAAAATGGGGATTGCAATCCAGACACTCCAACATCTGTGTCTGACCTCACAAATGCTCTTCTGATTGAATGGGCAAAAATTCCCACAGACACACTCCAACATCTTGTAGAAAGCTTCCCAGAAGAGTGGAAGCTGTTGTAGCTGCAAAGGGGGGACCAACTCCGTATTAATGCCTATGGATTTAGAATGGGATGTCTTAAAGCTCCTGAAGGTGTAATGTGTAGGTGTCCCAATACTTTTGTCCATGTAGTGTACCATGTAATGCACCACACCTGTGTGTGTCCAGTTACGACTGAGATAAAGATGTGAAAGCCTTCTTTTTCTCTTTCTGCTTTTCCGTTCTCTGTTTTAGACGCCGTGCTCTCTTGTCTGTTTAAGACAGAGAAAGATCAAAATCCTCGCATCGAGTGGAAGAAGAAAGATGATGGAATCTCCATGGTTTACTTTGAGGGCAACTTCACAGGTGACTAGCATTTGTGGCCTGTTTCTAAATATGACACGAACTACTGTTCATGCTCTAGTTACAATAAAGGATAAATCCACCTAAAATTTCACAGTTTCGCCAATGTGGCCAAGACCTGCAAGCCTGAACATTTTCTGAGATCCTCCTTTACTGCACACGGACATGCATTCACCCTGACCTGTCCTTCACAGGACCCTTTAAGGGACGTGCAAAGATTGAAGGGGCAACAGTGACGTTGTACAAGGTCCAGCTAAAGGACGCAGGACAGTATCGCTGTGAGGTCAGCGCCGCAGCTGACTCTATTCAGCTGGGAGAAACCAACGTCACTCTCAAAGTACTGGGTAGGAGGCTTCATCCACGTTCATCGGATTTGCTCTGTTCTGTTTGGCTAATCCTGATTCTCCAGTTTGCTCTTTGGAATTTGTGGCTTTGTGCTTGGTAAAGCAATAGTTTGGTGAAAAACAGCAGGAAATCAGTCACGTCGATCAGCGAAGACATGTTTGGTTTAATCAGATTTCACATTTGACTAAACATGGTTTTTGCACATGTGAAAAAAAAGTGTTCACGTGTAAAAATTCTTTTTCCTTAATATGTAGCTTATATCTTTGCTCTCTTTGCTGCCTCAGTACCTCCACACATTCCGTTTTGCGAGATTCCCAGCTCTGCGCTGACTGGCTCACTGGTGGAGCTGCGCTGCAGTGACCAGTACAGCATTCCTCCCGCAGTTTACACCTGGTACAAAGACAAGAAACCACTCTCCCCTCAACGTGCCAACTCCACCTACACCATCAACAAAAACACCGGCATTCTGGTGAGTCCAAACAGTTTATGCATGCCTGTAAACATAAATGTGCCTAGAGGATTTTAAGGGTCCGTATGTGAGAAGACAATAAAATTCTTCACTCTCCACTACATAGCAAGGGAGGACGTTTCTAACCTCCTAAAGATCAGATCTGATTATGATTCTTTAAGGAACGATTTAGTGTATCATGCACTGTAAAATATTAAAAGTCAGTTCAACTTTTAAAGAGGATTCTATTGATTTTTCAGTTTTTCTGCATAATTCAGTTGTTGACCTGTAAACGAAGTCATTCAGTGTAACCACATGCTGTGGAATGGTGTGTTTTAGAGAAACTTGCAGACTCTGGTTTCTTTACAGTGGTGCTGATAGGAACCAGGAGTTGCTATTTTTCTTTCAGTGCCTTGCATGCACCTCTGCACTAAGAACATATTAAAAAATACTTTCTTGTCTAGAAAGTAAAGTTATTTTATTGATCAGAAAACAATGCCTCAGGCATCAGACAGTGTATTGATAACATTTTCTTATAATAACTTCCTGTGAGGGAGCTTTTAAAAGCATTAAACCCATCTGGTTCCTGTCACCACTATGAACGTGTATAACTTGGTACGTTTTATTAGAAAAGTGATCAACAAACCACTCTGAATGACTTTTTTGACTTTGTTTACATCTTAACCAGTGAAATATGCTAATATTTTGAATGATCAATGGATTCTCCCTTAAGTTATTCCACCTAGTTCAGTGAAATGTTCTCCTAACTCACATTTTTAGTACAGCATCTCAGGGCAACAATACAGTTAATGATTACTCAAAGATATAATGTGAAACTGATGACATCACTTGCTGGATGTTTTTTCCAACACTCCTACTTGTTTGGATGTTGCTAATTTTCACCTGCAGACTGACTTATGACCTTCTGAGTTAGATAGTTCTGTCACTCTGAAGCCACAACAATACTTAATTAATTTAATTACAGAGAGCATCGTCTGTAAAAAACCACACTGACATGACAGTTCATACAGCTTTTAAAATGTAAGGTTTCAACATTTTCTGACTTCATTCTGTCTTTTGGTAATTGCGTGACTCTAGAGTGGTGCAGTCTGTCTATCATGAGTCGAATTCTGGTATCACCCCCTGATCACAAATGCTAGGACTTATGCTACTTGGGAGCCCCTGAAAATTGTGTGTTAAATACATAAAAAAGAAAAATTTTGATACATCTGACTGCAGATGCTCAGTTCATTGAACAGATATTATGTTTATGTAACAGAATGTAAGACAGGGATCAATGTTCAATTAACTTTTTATTTATCTTTCAATTAACTCAAAATATTATTTAAGTCAGACACAAATTGTAAACAAAATTTAAATGAAACTGCAAAACTAGGACATGTATGTATTGTATTTATTATTGTTTTATGTATAACCAAAAACATTTACAGTAAAATCTCAAGCTTCACTATGTATGTAAGTACTTTTAAATCATACCAAAATACTGAAAAATCTGACTGGAGCAGCTATTTACACAGTAGTGGATTATAAGCTGTTTTTTTATTTTACAGTTGTATGCAAAGATTTGAGAGCCCTGGCAAATTTACACTTTTTGTTGTTAACACATCCTCTACAGAGAACAGACTTCTGTACATTTTAATACACAAGTACTGTTTATTTGCTGAATTTAACATTGTAAAAAAATAAAAACGTAAAATGTGGTCTGTGCAGAAGTTATGACACATTTTAGATTTTATGTTTTATTTTTGTTCAGTAAGTTAAACTCAGCAAATAAACAGAAATTGCGCACTGAAATGAACATAAATGGCATATTTAAGTGTGTCTCTGTAGGGGATGTGATCACTTATTTTCACTTAGAAAATCAACATGTAATTTGACGGATGGTGTTCAAACTTGTGCATATGACTGCACGTTTGAATATGATTCAGGTCAAAAAATGAACATGTTCACTATTGAATGTTATTGTAATTGATTATGATCAACTGTAACTCTACAAAACTGCATACTGATATGGCTGAATTTTCACCTTTAGATGGATAAATCCTGATGCGTTCATGCTTTTTTACACCCCGTCTAGGCAGCTTACATGTTAGTTTTGTAATAGTTACCAAAAATGATGCTATTTACTGAGTAATATATCTTAACTGAGCAATAAACCTGCAATACATAAACAGGTCACAGCAGTCACACCATGGACACCTCCTCTGAATTTGTAGTCCAGCTGAATCATTTGTCACAAAGTAGAGCCAGACAGACCAAATACTAACAGACTCAGAGAGCCAGAGTGACGGATTGATATTGACAGACAGGAATAATCACACTAAATAAACACTGACATCTTGACCCGACACTGACATTTCTAACACACGCATACACGCACACGCACCAGTGCACATACACACACACACACACACACACACACACACACACACACACACACAAACAAACACACACAAAGAGCCCTTGACACAGATGCTGAAAAAAATTTTTTACTCAGTGCCCAAACAGCTTTCTTAATTCTTTCTGTGGTGTATTTTCCCTTCTTTCTTTTATACAGACATTTCAAACAGTCACTAGAGCTGATGCAGGACAGTACCACTGCGAGGCCAGAAACGGGGTAGGACAGCCAAAGAGCTGTGTAGGAAATCACATGACCATTGGTGAGTGCATGCATGTACATGTGTGTTGGTATTTCTAGTAGTAAAAACATTAATTAAGCCATTTATAATGGGGTTATAAAGCCAAGGTGAAAATGTGGCTATTTCCAATTTTAATCTATTCCTCTTTAACCCACATCAAACCGAGAGTCTCACCGGTGATCCATTCTGAGAATTTGAGAGACGGCCCCTGCAAATCGATTAAATCTGCCACCAGAGGAGTTGTGCTGCTTTCAAGTGCAAGTAGGGCGGTAGTTTCCTCTGAGGAGAAACTCGAGGCATTCATGTAATCTAACTGTATTTATTAGTAGCTCACACTGGTCGCACTGTCAAATCAGTCACTCACATAAATGTCTACAGTTACACAGAATTAAGCAACAGGAGTGAGAAACATGCTACATGCTAAAAACATTAGCTAACAAAAAAACAAACATTACTTAGCACTGCTCTCTAAACATGTTAGAGCACCAGGTTAGAAGTTAGAACTATGTTCTAGGTCCCAGGATGTCCCAACACACCCAATTCATATTTTGTTTGTTGCAGCATAATCCATCCATCCATCCATCCATCCATCATCTAAACCGCTTATCCTTCTGGGTCGCGGTGGGGTGCTGGAGCCTATCCCAGCTGTCATTGGGCGGAAGGCAGGACACACCCTGGACAGGTCGCCAGTCCATCGCAGGGCAGACAGACAGACATACACATTCACACACACCTAGGGGCAATTTAGCATGTCCAATCAGCCTGACTGCATGTTTTTGGACTGTGGGAGGAAACCGGAGTACCCGGAGGAAACCCATGCAGACACGGGGAGAACATGCACACAGAAATGACCCTGGTCACCCGGCCGGGAATCGAACCCAGGCCCTTCTTGCTGTGAGGCGACAGCACTACCCACTGTGTTGCAGCATAATGTGACTGTAAAATCTAATGACTGAAAAAAAAATGACTGCAGTCAGCTTATTTAACTGCGATTAGACAATTATGTAATAAATATGACAGGCCTACATACAAAGAAATAAAATGTGGACTGACTATATGTTCAAAATTCATTTTACCATCACCATTTATCTTATTTGTATGATTGCTTTTTGTCGTTTGACTATTCTCTTCTGTCCCCAGCCTCGATTAAAATAGCATGGATGTCATAACTCAGCAAATTCGTGCTACAAATTTTGATATAGTTGACTTCATCATCCGACTTCGAAGGGCGTTCATGCGGTGCCTCTGGGTGCAAAACTATTTTATTTTATTTTACAATAATACCAAGAGCACTTGAAAGCAGCATGATGATGTGTGTCCAAGTTGGCCAGAGTGAAATGTATGTAGAATCTGAGTTTTGTGTGCTACTCTGTTTCCTATCACTGCACAAAAAAATGCATGAGGCTTCCTTTATTGCTGGATGTTCTGTGATATTTTCTGATTGAACGAGCTAGTTCATTGAGTGCATTTGGGATCGGTATATTACTGACTGGTTTAATCAACAATGTGCGACTTATATTCCTTTTCATTTGCTTGTGACTCCGAATAAAAAAACAGTTTTGGCTCAAGTTCTTTACATATCAGAATAACGGGAACACCAGCAGTGAGAAATTGCGTTATTAATGGGGAAAAGTAGATTAAATGGCGGAAATAGTCATGTTTGTTCATGACATTTTAATATAGTGAGGCTGTAACAAATCAGAAATAATTTGCACTGCAATGTCTCAGTGTCTCAAAAATAAGGAGCGGCTGAAAATGTGCCGTATGCCAAAATGCAAATTATCTCATTTTCAGTTGATCAGAGCATTCAGCGATAAAAAAATCACAATATTTGAACTTGAGCTAACACACTAGCCTCGAGCTAACATGCTCCAGTACAATACAATGTGATATGTTGCACCAATGCATCCCTATTATATAGCGATAGAAAAATAGGGCAGCACACAGGAAGCTCCAGCTGCACATGCTGATACATTTTACTGCCTAATTACTGTGGAGACAGATTTTAATGAATGTTAAACACCACTGGGTTAATCAGTCCATACTGGTATTTTTCTTCACCATCACTCCACGACTGTTTGGTGTGTTTTCTTGAAACTCCACTCATTTTTATCTTGTTTTTCCATGAGTATAATGTTCTCTTTGTTTCCCCTCCTCACTCTGTCTCTCTCTCTTTTCCAGATGACCTGAACGTTACAGCAATAATAGCAGGGATAGTAGTGCTGTGCCTGGTCATATCAGTGTGCACTCTCGGGGCATGGTATGCCCACCGGCAAGGCTACTTTAGCCGTAAGTTGACTACAACTGTCACGTTTTCCACCGCCCATGTATGTAGGTCATGACGTGCTTATCAGTACAAGATGAAAATGTTTTGACCAGTTGTCCTTTGTTTTTATTTCTATGTCCCGTCTTAATCTCTCTATATCTCCATGTCAGGACACAGAGGAAGGTAAGAATACTAACTGACTCAATTCAGTCAGTACGTGTGTGTGTGCCTGTATGTGCGTGTGTGTTGGTTTTGTTGTGTATTAAGGGCCTGATACCAAGTTAGAGATTGCAAACCACTAAGAAGAAATTATTCCGGAGTTTATACACGTACACTGATTTGAATGTAATCTTTATTGCAATGGTCTCATGTGTCATTTCTCAACAAACCATCAACCCTAAAGAATTCCCATACTCCCATCAGGATGTAGTTATTCTTTAAAACTGGGATGTATCACAGAGACATCTGAATTGGGATGCTGCTGGCTAAACTTTGCATTAAAAATTTGTTGCTAATTCGTTGGTTTGGCCAAAAATCTAATTTACATGATTTTCTCTTTTCCCTCCGAATATAGTTGATCAACCAAGATGTGTTCAGAGTTTGCTTTGCACAGCTAATAGGCTAATCTAGATAACAAGTAATGGAAGCCTATACTGTGCCAGTTAGCATTGTGCAGACTGTATGATTTTTGATACTTTTTGACATTCTGTAATCTATAAAAATCAACGAAAATATCACATAGCCATAAAAGTAGTCATAGCCATCTTTAATTTTGTCCAGGCTTTTATTCATGTTTATAGGTATCACACTCTCCTCGGCAGGTTAGTCTAAGTGAGCTAGCCGTCTAGCCATGCAAACTTTGCAATGCAAAACATTTATCTTTGAGTAACTGTTTTGTCTAGTTGGTGTAGAGCCGTGTTGTAGTGCTTTTATTTTTGTTGTTGTTAGCCATGTAGCCTTTAGCATGCTAACTATTAACTCTATTTAAGATTACTTAACAACTTGATGTGGTGTGAAGCAGATGTGTGATGACTCAGTCATGCAGTTTACACAGTGCTAACCTGGTGACTCGAAGTTTCCATTACTTGTTAGCTACATTAGCCTTGTAGCTTCAGTGCAAAACTAAAGAAGTACACTTGTCTACTACATTTTGGGAAAAGGGGAAAAATTACATTTTTGGCCGAACCATCATGTTTTCAACTAACTCCGTGCCTTTGAAGTGTGATTGGCTGACACTGCCATGACTTTGTGAATATCATTCTACATTTGCATGCAACCAAGATAATCTCCACCACTCTTGCAACTGCTGGTTTTTATTGCGCCCATAGTTTCGTTTAAAGTCACTCATTGGCTATAACTCCCAGCATGACGCACAGTGTGTGCTATTGCCCCCAACTGTGACCTCTGACCCCTGACCCCCCCATGGCGCCCTATTGCAGGTCATTCTGGATCCCACAGTGTCATGGAGCAGCTCACATCAGCAGCCAGAACCTCAACAGAACAGAGGACATGTGAGTTAGAGAGACTGACAGAAGGAAATACATGACTGTTATTGCAGCTTAAGTGCATGACAAGAGGGGGTAGTAACATCAAGATAGGCTGCATTTTTATTACAGTGAATCGCTTCCCCCGCCAACTGTTGGCTGTTTTTAATGTAAGCACGTTTAGACATCCAGCGTCAAAGCGTATGCAGAGCTCTGAGGCTAGTTCTGAGCGCCAATAAAACATGGACAAACTTTCTACACTTTTTCAATACATTTGTTTTTCAACCATCATGTTGTATTGTCATTTTGTAGTTTGCCGTTAGCATTCTGACGAGCCCTGGGTATAAGCCATTTTTCTCCTTGGGAAAAATGAATGCCATTTTCAAAAATTGCTAATGTAACGCTTTGTAAATATACATATGAATTACAAGGACATCAAGTATTCAAGCAATCTTGCAACACATGCTAAATAAAAGCTAACAATCCTGCTCATTTAACTGACCACAACCTCACTGAAATATGCCTTGAAAACCAGCAAGCTTTGTCAAAAGCAGGTAATTTGCTCTGGCAGCAGTAGGCTACAGATCGACTGGCTGTTGTTACACAATAGTGCTGATTTTAGCTTCACCTAGCTTTACCTAACTCATGACCTCAGTTAAATATGCAGTATTGTTAGCTCGCTTGTAGCATGCATTAGACAACATTGGTATATTGGTATATATACGAATATATATGTAATGAGCCACAGGGTGAGATTTTTGAAAACGTCATACATTTTTCCCATAGAGAAGAACAACACTGCTGGCCAGCAAAATTGGATTCTCTTTCGCACATTCTGAAGTTCACAACTTTTTTCGCTCTCCTCACCTGCTCCATAGTAAATTAATGATAGGTGATGTAAAAATGCATTTTGCTGCAATGTAATTGCAAAGGGTTGATATCGATCGTGAATGATGTGTCCGAACTTCAATGACAGGACAGTGAACCTAAATGAAACAGTCTGTACTACAAAAGAAAAGCCATGTGTTAATGTGCTCTGCATAAGCAGTGGTGGAAGACAGAATGTGAGACAGGCTGGAAAAGAGAAGGACAGCTGGGAGACTCAGGCAAATGGCATCATCTGAAGCCTAACATGGTCACAGGGTTAACGTCTGGGTAGAGATCAAAGTGTGTGTGTGTGTTTGTGTGAGTGAGTGTCAACAGAGTAATTAACATGTGTAGGCCTGTTGGAATAGGTCAGCAGTTGTTTTGCAGCAAATGGAATTGTTCTGAAGAAAATATGTGTAGATAAGTCATGTTGTTTAGCAAAGACAAGCTGTTTGCTGATTTTGCATCCTTTTTGTGTTATAAAACCCTGATGTGTTTTATTTCCTCAGCCCCCATGCTGGTTATGGCCCTCCTCCACAAGACGTGAGTATTAATTATTGTTTTTTTTTGTTTGTTTGTTTCTTTTGCCAATAACGCCACATATTTAAAAATATTCAAAACCAATTAAAATACACATGTACTAGAAATACATTTTAATGGTGGAGAGTATGAATATAAGACAGACGAAATGCCAATTTTTATTATTTGAGCCACATTTATATCTAATTTAACTGATCTGACTGTAGCCTTGATCAAACTATATTAATAAATGTAAAGGCCTTAACATGATATATTAACATTATATTATTAAAACCTTATATTTCCCTTTATTTATAAACACAACTGCAGTAATGTGCTTCAGCCTGTTAAGTTATTCACTTATAGTGCTTAGGGAAATATGGGTAATAATCTACCCTATTTAATCTTTTGGTTTAACCAGTGTGCTAATAATGTAATCCAATGATAAAGAATTTGCAGTCTGTCTTCATATAGTAAAACATATAGGCCCAATAGTCATTATTTATTTATGCATTTATGACTGTTGTTAACAGGTATACCGCTGTGTGCCATATCACAATACTTAGCATATCAAGTCTTTAAATATACCATTAAATGGTGTTGTGGCTCAAGTGTGGTGATATGAGGCCTGTAGCAATACCCACCACTAGTAATTTATCAGGAGGGTTACCTACTTTTCCATGCATAGTACTAGTAGTAGTAACTCCAATAGTAAGAGTAGTAGTAGTAACAGTAGAAGTAGTAACAACAGCAATAACAGTAGTAGTAACAGCAACAGTAGTAGTAACAGATATAGTAGTAGCAGTAGTAAAAAGTAAGAGTAAAAGTAACAGCAACAGCAATAACAGCAGTAGTAAAAGTAATAGCAGTAGGTGTAGTAACAGTGGTAGTAGTAACTAATAGCAGTAGCAGTAGTGGTAGTAGTAATAACTAATAGCAGCAGTAACAGTAGTAAAAGCTAATAGCAGTATTAGTAACAACTGTAGTAGTATGCATAGTAACAGTAGGAGTAACTAAAAGCAGTAGCAGTAACAGTAGTAGTATTAACAGTAATAGCAGTACTAACACTAGTAGTAGTAACAGTAGTAGTGTTAACAGTAATAGCAGTAGCGACAGTAGTAGTAATAGCTAATAGCAGTATTAGTAACAGTTGTAGTAGTAGTAGTAGTAGTAACAGTAGTAGTAACTAAAAGCAGTATTAGTAACAGTTGTAGTAGTAGTAGTAGTAGTAACAGTAGTAGTAACTAAAAGCAGTATTAGTAACAGTAGTAGTATTAACAGTAACAGCAATAGTAACAGTAATAGCTGTAGTAACAGTAGTAGAATTAACAGTAATAGCAGTAGTAACAGCAGTTGTAGTAACAGCAATTGTAGCAATATTAGTAGTACGATTTATGTTAGTATGAATGACTCATTTCTGCTCTTCTCACGCATATTATTGTTAGGTCTATTTTCACCAGTCAGTTCTTTGCAAACTTTGTACCATGTAGGCATGACATAATGGAATAATTATAATCATACCACAAAATGCCATTTGTTCTAGCGATATTTATCTAGCGAACATTAAATACCCACAAACTGTGGAGGGCTATCTGACCTTTTAATGCAGCTTCCTATCTGGCACAAACATGTAATGACGAAATCTTAACCTTTCTTTAAGTGGTAAAAAGCATGTTACATAATTGACCCACATCACTTGTTTACAGGAATGATTCACATGTCCTGACTCAGTGAAGTCACTGGCTATTTCTGACAGCTCATATTGACATGTGTATCGACACATACTATCCACGTCCATTCTGAATTTATCAGCGTATCAAATGTAGCTCACATTGACAGTAACTTAAATCTTAAACTTTGCTTGCTTTTCCAGACTCAGGACTTCAAGCACACTCAGTCCTTCATGCTGTGAGGAACCATCAGCCTCAGTCAACACAAACACATGTTCAGCATTAACAGAAACACTGGAACCAAAGGGCCTGTGTCATAAACGACACCAGCTCACACTGCCGCTGTGGATAGAGAGCAAAGTGGGACAGAAAGCAGCCTTCTTCATCTCATCTCACTGCTGCTGTGAGCACCCTTTCAGACAGACTTTCAGAAAAAAAGACTACTTGTGTGGCAATGCTATGTGGGGCTCAATCGTTGAAAATGTATTTTACTACTGCCCCCTTGTGGTGTCCAATGGCTATGAACGTTGCAGTGCGTGTTTCCATTGTCCACCTACGCCCTCTGGTGGTACTTTGTATGCACACAAAGATGATGGTTCACTCAATCAAATTTACACAGTTGTCCCCTTAACTCAAATGTAATCAGTCAGCCAAGACATGATTGGTGCCTGAAATTTGCTTCTTAATTTTGCACTGGAGCAAACTTTAGACAGCTGATCATCTGTGTTATAGTACAGAGACTTTAAATTACATTTGTTCATTAATTTTTTTCTGGGGTAAACCTGGGTAAGCTTCCCAAAACCGTGATAGCATGAAGTTCATCTTGAAGGAAAATTCCACCAGTTGTTCTTACATTTACATTTCTGCGTGACTGAGCTGTTAAACAGACATTGAGAGTGGATCGATATGAAAACCTCTATTGTGGAGAAACTTGCTGAGTCACAATTGTTCACAGTGCTGGTGATAGGAACCATGTCTCAAGAGATGAATGCCTCCATTACATGAAAGGGTTATAAATACGCTGCCCGATGCCTGAGACATTATTTTACACAATAGTTCTGCGAAAAGCGGCCTAAAAACTGATTTTTAAAATACATTTATGGCAAGCAGAAGTATGCAGGATGTTAAAGGGCAAAATATTTGCTCAAATAAAACTTTTTTTCTTTTTCACTATTTCACCACTGTCAACATTACATGTAAAAAATGTAGAAGCCACATACAGGTTTAGTCACTGTTTTGGATAATAAATACAATGCCTATATTAGCGTTGTAGACATTGTGACCCCTGGTTCCTATCAGCACCACTGTAAAGAAATCAGAGTCAGTTTCTCACAACGAACCACTTTATATGAAATCTTAATGAAGGAAACATGTGGCAAAGTAAATATGACTTCCCTGCCGAGGAAGAACCCCTGCACGGACCAGCATCAATTCCATGCTGGTTTAGCTGGTCACCCGGTCACCCAGCATGCTCATGCTGATTGACCAGCACACCAGTATCCAAAACACAACATACGCTGGTTCTTCTAGCAGGGTTAGAAGCCACTGGCTAACAGCCAAGATGATCTTAATACTACAACGCTTTTGGTAAACTTGGTAAACCAGATGCCAATTCACATGCTACCTGTATTCCCTTGTGCCTTATCAGGGAACTACACTAGGATGCTACTTTCACTGGTTAGCAAGTTAACTGGATCAGCATGTATGCTGCCTGTAAAAAGTCTGAGAACACTTATTTTGGCATATTTACGTTGTTAACAATAATGATGCTTTCAGTAGAAAGCTGTTTAGGTCTTGGTGTTGTTCTTTGAAAAATGTCAAAACTTTAGGAACAATTGGCAAAAATACAAATCTCACACATTTTTCCCTTTGTTTGTCAGCACTGACACCTTTCAGCTGTTTAAACCACATCTGGGCCAAAAGATTTTCAATATGTGCTTTGGAAAATAAAGCTGTCAAATCATTTAGATAGAACTGGCTCTTTATACCAAAGAAGATCCTTTGATAAACATGAGCACTACTCTGAAAATATCAACAGAAGGCAGTGTGTCCTCAAAATTGACAGGCAGCATATGCTCAGAGTAATAACTTCGTGCTAGACTGAGGCTAGTCAGCTCACTAACCCAAGAATCTAGCGTTGTTGTGTACCACCCAGGAGTGAAATGATGTAGTATTATTAGATGATATTTGTACAAAGACATTATTTGAACCTGTGCCTTTCTTCTTAGCTGTACAGTACTTTTTCCAAATTGAGTGCATGGATGTGAAACAGTGAATGAATGATTTACTGTATGTTTTATCAGTGTGTTTTTTTTTACATTAAAGTGTGAATTAATTGCATGTTTGAACTGCTTTAGCCTTTGCAAAAGACTCTTCCACATGAGCTAATTTCTTTACAGAAAAAGTCCATTCTTAGGCAAGATATCCGGTCTAATGCATATTTTAATGGAGTTTGCTTTCAGGCTTTTTTTAAATGAGACTACACTGAGTTTAAGTGTGTAGATCAATCACAGACCTAAGCAGCCACAATTATGGACTCAAAAACATTTTTTTAAACCAAGGTCATTTATTAAATATTTACTTCCATCATTCAGAAGGTGACAAGACATAAATGCAGTTTTTAGCAGAGGATCGCTCACTTAGCCACTTCATCCAGTTTGGGTTCTGTTGAGAAAAAAAGAAGTGAGCATTAGAGGACGGACATAAAAACAAGCAGATTCAAAAAATATATATAGCTTTGTTTTGTTGTGATAAATGAAAGCTAAAAAATCTAAATGGCTGAAATTTCCCACTGTGTTACTAGTGTGCCATCTCAAACCACCTACTAGGACACCTAATAGTATGTAAAAAATGATGCAGTACCATTAGAAGTGCACTCCTTAGTATAGCAGGTAAAGTATAAAAGTATGCAGTTTGAGACGCAGCATTAGATCACCTAGTAAGACGTTTTGGGGTGCCCAAACTTTTGCATATGATTGTAGCTAACTAGCTACCTATGAGTAATACCATTGTGTATCTTGCAAGCAAGCATCACTCATGTGGTTGGTCTTATAAAGGAATGAACTTGCTGTGCGTTTTGGGCAACTGCATTCTTTAACACTAGAGAACCATCAGGGGATTCGGCCTGGAAAATTTTGGGGGAAAAAAAAATTATTCAAATATGAATGGCTAGTGTTGATGGAATATTAAGGAGAAACATGTGGCTGGTTTTCCAAGACACAACAACCAGCAGTTTATTCTTTAATACACAGGATAACCTCAGACCAAGACTAAAAGATACTTTGACCTCACTGCTCTGTAGAGCATTACGTTCGTTCTCGTGAGATTCAGAGAACTAGCCAGTTTCAGCATTTGATTACACCGTGGAAACCCCTACACTGCGCAGCACTGATGTCTTTAGGCACCGTCAGGCCAAGGTTTGCTAATTTGCATATAAAAATATAATTCTATGGCAACTACAGAGAGAATCTGACTGGAAACACTGAACACTGACCTGGGAATTTGAAGTCGGGGAACTTTGTGAGGTCGCCACCTCCATATAACCTCTGCAGTTTGGCGATCTCTTCTGTCATGTTCTTCTGATAGCTGGGTCCAGCATCCACTACTCCACCAGCACTCCTGCAGAGACAGAGAGATGGGTTATAAGAGGAAAGACGAGGAAAGAAAAAACATCTTCCAAAGCAAATATAGTTACATTTAAATCATTTAGGACAGTACAGTGGGTAATATGTTGAATAAAAATAATTTGTACTCAGTTTTTGATAGTACTGTTTAAATGTGGCACCTCAGGTCCTTTTTTTTGTCTGTCCCAACATCAAGCCTCAAAAAACTGCGTATTGTGAAAACTTCTTGAAGTATCGTGATGATATATTTTTGCTGTATTGCCCATCTCTACAGCCACCTGAACTGCAAAGGTGTTAATGAATCAGGTATGTCAGATGATTAACCATAAAAAGGTGCAGTGCAGGTGGGTCTCCAGAGAATACTAAGCAAAAGGATTTCTCAGTCAACCCAGACCCAACATCAACCCTGTCCAATATGATAACAGGTAGGGGACACTTCAGCCAGACAGTCCTCATTTTGGTAGGAGTGCACAGATACACATTTCCTAAAAATTGCAACCCCTAAAACTGTGGTGTCAAACTGGGTTGCTAAAGAGTTTAATTCAGAAGCCACGTCAGAAATCCAGGGGTGCAGCTGAGAAAGGCTGCATTTCCAGGCCGTTATGTTAGTGAAAGGTTTCCTGTTTTGTAGGTTCTTTTGTTTCTAAGAAAAACGCAGCGCAAAACCATTTGGAAAAAGGCAGAAACATCAGTGAGACGCCGCAGCACAAGAGTTTAATGAGATGTAAATTCTAACATTGTTTTTACATGCAAGATTTAAACGTGACGCTCTGCTTATGTAAGTAAGCCATGATGTGTTGGTACAGCCTGCACAGGCTGTTTCAAACATGCACAAGTACTGTATGCCAGAGCAGTGTTAGAAGATGTAAAATGCTAATCTCTGCAGGGCTGTGGCCCTACAGAGACTGATACGCCTGCCCAAAAAATAATAAGTTACATCAGGAAAAAAAAAGCCTAGTCACTGAGTGTGGCTGAGAAAGGATGTGAATTTTGGCTAATTCTTTTGATGACAACCAACTGATGTTAGTCTGTGCTTAATCGTTAACTGACAAACCTAAAACAGCCAATACAATCCATAAATAACGCAAACATAACAGTGTTTTATAGCTACCAGTAATGTAACAGTTTACTTACTTACATTTACCACATATTATAAGCCTACATATACATGGCAAGACTGGGGCTAGCTTAAAGTTCAAGTGCATAGTTGAAACAACAATTAACAAAGTCAGTCGATCTCACATTTTAAGCTTGTTTGTCATGGGACTAACTACACAGGCCAACTGTTAGCTAACAAACACATCTGTAGGCTACTGCTTAAGGCTTTGGTTAATAGAGGCAACATGATGTTTAAAATAAGTCAGTTGCAGCTGGCTTTAGCACTCTCTCATGGGGCTAAATATCCAAGTTGTGATAGTGCTGTAAACCACATTTAGGGTGGTTTAATCTCTGCTGTATCCCTTTATCAACGGCTCTGGCACTATTAGTTAAACTTAAGAGGAGTCTAGACTCCAGAAAACCCTGAGTTGTGCATCACTAAGTAGACAGGTTGTGCTCTTGCGCCTCATGCATACACTCCACAAACGGTCCTCAAAATGACTGAAAAACCCACCTGTGCAAATATCAACTGTTCATTGGAAATTAAATGACCTTTTTAACTGGAAGCATTGGTCAAACATTTATGTATTTCTATGTATTTTCAATCTTTCCAATACAGCATTGGAATTGTTTCAGCAGGGGTGGGTAATATGGCAAAAACAGCAGTCATCACAATACTTCATATACAATATGCAACACAATATTTTGTTAGACTGTGCACAATGATTTTTATTCAACACGTCTCACACTGAAATACTGCACTACGTCAAACAGGGCTAACTAGGCTCTCTTTGTAATGAAATATGCCATTTATCAGAGCTCTTTTAGTAACTGATGATATTCATGATAGGCTCAGAAAACATACTATGACATAATTTATCACCATAATGATTGAATACTGTCACACTGCCCACCCTACGGTACTCAGTCACACTTTGGTCTGAAGCTATCCAGCTTATGGAGAACTCCAGGCCCACCAGGAGCCCCCAGCAGCAACTTTGTCATTCCTGCTTTAACCTTAGAGTCATTTCATTAACAAATAAACAAATTCACAACCACTTCTGCAGCTGAATGAGGTGCAAAAGCACAAATTTATTCACTGCAGGACTTGATTTGTGCCTCCAACGCACGTAAAGTTAGTTGGTTTCCTATTCGCCAGCTTCTTGTTCGAACTTGCCCGTTCCACCTTAAGTGGTGCAGCAAATACATGTAACTGTTGTAACATTTAAGGTGGAACGGGAAAATTCGAACAAGAAGCTAGCTTCAGCACCAACTCTGACTCAGAAAACACGTCTAATGCAGTTTCTTTAGCAATATAAGGCAAGAGTTTTTGAGACTGACTTGCTCTTGACGTTGTATTCGCGGATTTTGTCCACGAACAGTTTCTGGACAGGGTCAAGCTCCTTGGCCCGGTTGAGGAGCACGGCGGAGAGGCCTATGTTCCTCCTCAAAGTCACCCTCACCGCCGAGCCGAGCAGGGAGGACAGCCGGAAGAGCCGCCGGAGCGCCATTCTGTCACTGCGAGGGGAAAGAAAAACGCTGCGGTTACTGAACAGAACAAAGACGAGAGGCTGAGTTCGCCTCCACAGTTTTACGCTCCTGTTTCTCTCCTCCGCCTCAGACACTGAGCCGCTAACGCCGCTAACACTGCTAACACTGAGAGCAGCGCTGCGCGTGACACGCTCACTCCAGCCTGCCGCCGCTCTCAGCCTCAGCACGAGCGCTCAGACCTAAACCGGCAACACAACAACAAACACGACTCGCTCCGAACGGAAAAGAGAGCTGAGAAAGGAGAAACTCTTCAGTCACCTTCGACACCGAACTCCGTCCTCAAACAGCACACACAGGCAATGGCTGCCGCTCAGACCTCTTCTTCTGTGAGAGTTCAGACAGCCACGCCACAGCGCCCCCTACTGACCGAGAGCGGCAGGTACAGGACAACAGGCGCATGCGTAAACCTGAAAAGTCCCTGACGGAAAAATTACGTTTTCCTGATTTTCTAGGTGAAAATAAGTTAACATATCCTCTACAGAAAACACCGTTCAATATAGCATTTTCCTGCAAATTTTAGTGCTCAATTTAAATTTATTTGAAGAGTTCAACGTACATACATACATACATACATACATACACTATATGGACAAAAGTATTGGAACACCCCTCCTAATTACTGAGTTCAGGTGTTTCAGCCACACCCATTGCTAACCGGTGGATAGAATTAGCCTCGCAATCTTGATAGAGAAACACAGGCAGTAGAATGTGTCGTACTGATGAGCTCAGTGACTTTAAACATGGCACTGTCATAGGATGCCACCTCCGCCACAAGTCAGTTTTCCAATTTCTGCCCTGCTAGATCTGCCCCATAAACTGTAAGTGCTATTATTGTAAAATGGAAGCACCTAGAAGTAACAACAGCTCAGCTATGAAGTGGTGGATCACGCAAACTCACAGAGTGGGGCCACTGAGTGCTGAAGCACACAGTGCCTGTCCTCTGTTGAATCACTCAGGGTCCGATTTGCCTCTGGAAGCAACATCAGCAAAAGAACTGTGCATCAGGAGCTTCATGAAATGGGTTTCCATGGCCGAGCAGCTGCACACAAGCCTAAGATCAAAATGCAAAATGGCAAGCGTCAGATGTAGTGGTGTAAAGCGCCACCACTGGACTCTGGAGCAGTGTAAATGTATTCTGTGATTAATCACACTTCTCTATCTGGCAGTCTGATGGAGGAGTCTGGATTTGGCAAATGCCAGGAGGACGTTACCTGCCTGAGTGTACTGTGCCAACTGTAAAGTTTGGTGGAGGAGGGAGAATGTTTTTTTGTTGTTGTTTTTCAGGGGTTGGTCTAGGGCCTTTAGTTCCAGTGAAGGGAAATCTTAATGCTTCAGCAAACCAACACATTTTGGACAATTGTATGCTGCCAACCTTGTGGGAACAGTTCAGGAAAGACCCTCTTCTATTCCAGCATGACTGTGACCCAGTGTACAAAGTGAGGTCCATAAAGGCATGGCTGGGCGAGTTTGGTGTGGAAGAACTTGACTGGCCCTCACAGAGCCCTGACCACAACCCCATCAAACACCTTTGGGATGACCTAGAACAGAGATTGACAGCCAGGCCCTCTCATCCAACATCAGTGTCTGACCTCACAGATGCTCTTCTGGATGAATGGGCAAAAATTCCCACAGACACACTCCGAAGTCTTGTAGAAAGATTCCCAGAAGAGTGGAACTTAATATTAATACCTATGGATTTACAATGGGATGTCATAAAAGCTCCTGTGGGTGTAATGTGTAGGTGTCCCAATACTTTTGTCCATATAGTATACATACATTTATAAATGAATAAATAAGCTTGCACTCTGTAGAGGATGTGTTAACTTATTTTCACTGTTAAATCAATGACATTTAATTTGACTAGGAACACCCAAACATTTACATACAACTGTATCACAGTACTTTATACAGTAGACATCTTTTTGTTAAAAATGTGGAGGAGTGGCTAACTTCACAGAGTGCACGTGTTGCACGCTTACTAATAATAACTTTATAGTTTACATAAATTTCAGGATATGCACATATTTATTTTCTTCTAACAATAATTTTGGTAACAGGGTTGAATGAGCTCTAGTCATGCAGCCAAATCAATGTTTTGTGTGTAAATTGAGGGAAAAAGAATGAGAACACTGATCTGTCTGATAGTCATTCTGCAGAAAACAACAAGGTTTATACTGTTTATATCATAATAAATGGAAAGTTCCATTTTATACAAGGGGGACCAGGTTTGGGTAACAGGGCTGCACATAAAATGAATTAAATAAATTTAAAGAAAAAAATGATTTTAACATCAAATTGCTTGGAAATGAACCAAATAACATTGTAATTATGGAGTTACTGGATAATTTTAATGAATATATTCCACAGAAAAGTTCGATGTCAGTGACACTTTCCACAGAAAAAAAAACATAACTTTATTGTTTTTAAAATTTAATGGGACATTAACTCTGTTCATGGAAAACACCATTTTTACATTGAATTTTGCAATTTTTGGCAGAATCATTTTCTAAATACTTCATATTAAAGCCTATTTTTTTTTTACTGCATTTAAAACAGTAAAATGCATCATTGCTGTAAACAAACATGAAGCGCTGTAAACATTACTTATAGTAACTAGCTGGCAATTCTGCTTACAGTAAATTTAATTTTTAAGGGTAGGTGTTGCTAATAAACTGAAGGTGAGCAGAGCTAGGAATCAGTTAAAGATTTTCAATACCAACACACATATTTTGGAACATAATTTAGACAGTTCTCAGTCTAGATTTTGGATAATTCATGCTTATTGGAAATTGTCAGTAACATAAAAACACTTTCGATGCCCAGCTATAAGAATCATTCTGTTTTGTGATGTTTCCAGACAAGGTTGACACAACACTAAACATTACACACAAAATAATCTGACACCACATCAGGAATCTGTATGTACATTCAAAACTTTATTTATGGAATACAGTGTATAAAGCATAGTTTTCCCAGTCAAAGCAAATGTTCCATACACTTACACAGAGGAAGAAAAAGAAACATCACAGAGAAAGAAACTAAAGAAATCCTGCTTTCTCTGTATCTACAGTGCAGTCTGCCCACATCCCCAAGACCTTTTTAAAACCCTAGCCAAAGAACCGCAATTACAATCACCTCAGGCTACTTAATTAACCAACCACGGCAGAGTTCTCTACGTCCGTCTCTTCACCGCTGGCCAGACTGCTGTTAAGAGAGAGCCCAAACAGCCCGATGAGAGAAAAAAAGAAAATCCCCAAAAAATGATGTACACAAGAACTTTCAATTGTACAACATTCCTCATTTGTTTTACAGACACTCACCACAGCAGTGCAGACGTTTAATGCATGCTAGATGGGTGGTGTAGTGAAGTGTTTGTCACATTCATTAGAAGAGCTGAGTGAGAGACTTCTGTGTGAGGCCTACTTACAGTGCGCAGCCCCCTTCCCGACTCACTAAATCAGACATAAATCAGACCTGATCATGCATCAGACTGCTGACTCCTTCGAGGATTACTTCACAGCTTTAAACTTAATCTCGATTTGCTGGACATATTTCTTTCTCTGTACTTAGAAAGAACAGAAGACTCACACAGTTGTTGGACAGAAATCCATACAATGATCTGACCACTCGAAGCTTGTTCGGGCAGTTAATCGACACAGCTACTCCCTCTTACACTACACTGCACATCTAAAGATGGCCAACAAAGCTGAAATTTGTCCAGATCGTGACACTGAGCTAGTGACAGGCGCATCGGGTTTAAAAACAGGCTAGAAGCCTGTATATGATGCATATTTTTGGTAGAACACTTTCATGAACTCTCAAAACACAAAAAAGCTGCAAATCTCTATAACTCTTTCTGATATGAGACTATTTTTCTCAGAGAGAAGACTTTGTGGTAATCCATTACCATTGTAGTCAATTCGCCTTTAGCCCTTTAAACAGAGCATGATTTATTCTGTTGTATATAACTGATTTCCTGGACACAAAACACTTTTTCAGATGGCAAACATGGGACGTTTTATTTTATTTGCCCTCCATTTGATTTTTGCAAACTTTTGCAACACACTGACCAATCACAGACATCTCTGCTGTTGGCATGGTGACATGCTGTTGGCATGTGTCCCAGCTACTACAACTTTTTCGCATGAGGATCACAATCTCCATAAGCGGTTCAAACGGCTCAAACTAGGCAACATCTGAGTTACATGTGGAAGCTCAGTTTCAGCTTAATGTTTATTTCAGCAACTGCCCATTAGCTTCTATTATAAACAAGTTTCGAGTAATGAGAATTCTGTTCTTTGCAAAGCACAGTGAAATTAATGTCTGTGGTAATCACAGCAAGATCACAGATGCAGTAAACAGATCAGGCTAAAAAATTATGAGTACTCATACCCTGGAAAATGGAGCAATGTATGATCTTACAGCCACTGATCCAGATCAGTCTTCCCCTCCCTTCCCATTGTTATAAGGGGAATAAAAACTGGAGCCTAGCTGCATGCACTGCTTCTCCCTTAGACCTGTGTTCTTTCACCATGGCTTCCAGGTTTGTGCCATTATTCTCCAGCTCCGATAAGCAATTCATACGCCCACTGACAAGTCGCAATCTGGCAACCCGGCTGAGATCCTGTTACAAAGCCGCACGATAATAATAACGGGTTAAGCGGGTCACGAGAAAATGGGAGAAAGGACAGGACAGAACAGGAGTGTACACTGTGTGCGGCCAGAGGGGACAGGAAAGGTGTTGGACTATCTATCCAGAAGACACCAAAGAGTCTCTCTCTCCCTTTCTCTTTCTCTCTCTCTTTCTCTCGGTCTCATTTCCTGCCTCTCTTGCTCCCTCCATCCTTTCCTTCGTTCCAGCACAATCACGCCCTCCAGCATTCACCTGTTCTGGCAGCAGGAGATGAGAAATAAGAGTGAAAGGGAAGGAAGGAGAGCAGAGGGGAGAAAACGAGAGCCTATTTGGTGAGCCTGTGTAACATGAAACGACGGAGAGCTTGAAGGAGAGAGGGATTCTGATGCTTTTCTTTTCTTTCTCTAAACAGCAACAGGGGACGGTACAAAAACACAAAGCTGACTGGAGAGAACATACATACAGTACATACAGTGAATAACCCTCCCCTCCCCCCTCCCCCAGCCCCTGAAAACCCCATTACAAAACACATACAACCACGTGAATCAAAATGGGAATTGGAAAAATTAAATAGAGCGGCAGAGCGAGGAAATAAATCTCTGAAATGCATAGGAAATGGACGCAAAGACGGTAATATACATAAGACAGATTTATCCAGCCCCCAGTAGCTGGAGGAACTCAGCAAAGTAAAAAATAAAATAAAGTGATAAACGACCCAAACGAAATCACTGACCTCTTCAATCGTGTTTAT